GAGACTCGGACACACTCATAGACACACACAGATACACACAGAGAAACACAGGTACAAAGACACACACAGCACACTCTGAGAATGAGTTGGGGACTGTTGCTGAACTTGGAGCGTGCCACGAAGGGATTGGGCCTTGCCATCACCCCCACGAAAACACAAAACACCTGCTGGGGTGTTTTATATTATCAAACAATCCACGATTAAACTCCCCATGAGTGATCGGGCAAGTTGTGGAAAGAGTGGGGAAGTTTCCACACCTGGGCAGTGTGCTTATGAGCAGTTACGGATTGGCAGCGGAGGTCTCACTCCGAATCAGTCGAGTGGCACTATGTTTTCATCAGCTGGGTCACGTTTTGTGGAAGTTACCTGGACTACCGCTCCATGTGAATCTGTCTTATGCTTGCAAACGTAGAGCCCTTTTAAAGAAACATCTGCGCTGGTTTGCAACATTCACGCTGGCCTGCCTATGGTCCACCCTGGGTTTAACCAGACTAGATTGTGTGAGGAGCTCACAGATGTTTGAAAGATATAGCTCGTTAAGGACGCTCCTTGGAAATTGGAGGCTGTCGCCCGTCAACAATAGCGGAAAGTAGAGGAGCGACGCCCACAACAACGAATAAAATCCAGCAAGTTGACACAGTAGGAGGCACAGATGGTGCATCTGCCAATCATCTCAGTCAGTGAACACATAGCACCTGGGTATGCCCCGTGGCCTGCTAACAGCGACCCTTCGGAACTTCACGTGGCTTCGAGGTGCACATAGCCTGGCACAAACGCCGTGTTGACGTCACCGCAACTTAATGGCGAATTGCGCCGTTGTGTGTGGCTGTTGAGCGTGTTGGTGATGGGGAGAGGTAGTAATGTAGCGGTGAGCGCGCTGTTTGTGATTGTGAATGGTCGTGTGTAGTTGTGGTGGTTGGAGTGGTAGACAGGGCAGGGCTGTGGGTCGCCGTTCTCTGACTCAATGCTTTCATTGAGTCGCTTGGCACGTGGAGTGAGTGAGTGTGCGCAGCGTAGCGGTTAGGGCGCTGCGCTACGAACCCGGCGACCCGAGTTTTATTCACGCTCACGGCTAACACGGGTGACGAATCCTCTATATGAACCGGTTATGGGCCTCCCCGACATTGATTTAGCCTGAGTACTTGATGCAATGTTTAATCATCACCCACTCCTTGGTGTGACGGCCATCGTGGGTGCCCGCTGACAACACTTGTACGCGCCTGCCTGCCACCTCTAAATGACGTGCAACGGTGTGTACACCGATGTGTGCACACAGAGACACAGACAGGGCGACCCGGACATATTCATAGACATACCGAGATCCCCAGTGAGACACACAGACAGATTCACAAATACCCAGGCTCATAAACACAGATTCACAAATACGCAAAGGGCCAGAAAAACACAGAGACTCGGACAAACAGAATAAAGTGGACGCAGTTACACAAAGACGCTGTATGAATCAAAATCGGATTGCAGTACGCAGACGCGATTAAGCCGCTATACACAGAGTAGTGGTTCCCTTGCTATGTTTGTGTTTGAGGAGGCGGGCTTTACTGTGGCCTCACTGAGCCATCGGGAGTCATGATGATAATAAAACTCAGACCGCGCCAGGGACAGGCAGAGGCGGATGGTGCAGTGAGACCCCTGGCGATGAGATCCGAGGGTACAGAAGGGGACTGGAGGCAACAGTGCTGTACAGGGTTGGAGGGGGGTTACAGAGAGGGACACAGGGGGTCTGGAACTGAGGACATGGGGCCACTGTTCTATTCGTGTGCATGACAGCAATACGGTCACGAGCCAATGTCGAGGTTTCCTGGCCACGACGAGAGGACTTCAGCAGAGAGAGTTCGTGTCGTTACGCTGTTCCTCTTCGTTGAAGGAGCGCAGGCTACAGTGGTTTACTGTGTGGTCCATCGTTTGGGTTGCATGGCCAGAATCGCATTACTGTGGCTTTGTCTTTAACATTCCATTCATGAAGATGTGCGCATTGTCCTGTGTATTTACTATTTTACCAGGTAAGCCCCACTGAGCTATATATCTCTTTTTCAGAAGCGACCTAGCCACTCAACGAAGTGGCTTATCATGTTGACATTTTGAGTAGGCAAATACTCTAAACGCATGATTCTAAATTTGCAGGGAAAAACTGGAGGACCCGGAGAAAAGTCGACGCAACTACGGGGAGAACACGCAAACTCCAAATATACAGGCGTCAGGGTCGGGATCGAACCCAGGCCCTCCCGTGTACCAGGCGAGGGAGTTAACATCTTGTCACCGTGAGTGGCCCTGTTGATGTTCTGATGCGGTCGATGGTTCCACCGGTGGCTTAGAGGAGGAATGTCAAAGCGGATGTGGTGCGGTGATGTTTGGATCTCCTTTGAGGGGTTTATTCTGGACGGCCGCATTGTTGCACTCTGTTCGTCAGCAACGTTCTTCCGGATCTGGGTGAGATTCTAGGATGGTGACAGCAGCAGCGCGGTCCCACAATGGATGGGGTCGAGACTTGAGCTTGCGGCGAGGTAACATTGTTGGAGTCTTGGTGGATAGGTAGGCGTGTGGTTGTCGTTTGCAGGAAACACGTGAACTCCCTTGCAGCGTGCATGCCTGTGCGGATATTTAGTGGCGGAATATTCTGTGACGGAAAGCCACTGACTGCTCCACAGCAGCAGCTGAAACATGCGGTTCTCGTGAAATCCCATTCCCAATAACTATGACAACCTGTCTTTTTCTAGACCTGTCCAAAGCTTTTGATACAGTAGCCCACAACACCTGCTTAGTAAACTAAGTTGCCTCGGTTTTTCCGACAACGCTGTAAAATGGTTACAAAATTACCTCTTTTCTCGCACCCATACTGTATTCACAGATGGTTGGAGGTCAAACAGTGTTAAGATAACAAAAGGGGTTCCACAGGGTTCCATCCTCGGCCCCCTTTTGTTCTCTCTTTATGTCAATGACTTGGGCACTGACCTGGATCATTCCAGGGTAAATCTTTTTGCAGATGACACGATACTGATTACTGCTGGCCACTCTCCAGATGACGTGATTGCTAAGCTACAGGGTGATTTCAACAAACTACAAGATCAGCTAGTTGCTCTTAAACTAGTCCTGAATACCTCCAAAACCAAGGTGCTATGCTTCTCACCAGGACCAAAGCAGGAAATTATTTTTCCCCAATTACATTCCTTAAATAATTATCAAATAGAGCAAGTCAAGATCTATAAGTATCTTGGGGTCATCCTGGATTCAAAACTGAATTTTGAAGATCACATTGATTATATTTGTAAAAAGACAAACATAAAAATTGGTTTTCTGTATCGACACAAGCACTGCTTCCCCCCAATGTTCCGTTTGGAATTGATAAAAGCTACCATACTGCCTCTACTTGACTACTGTGACATCGTGTATAAATCAGCCCCAAGTACTTACTGATTCCATCTATCACTTAAGATTTACATTGAACTGCCCATATAGGACTCACCACTGTGATCTCTACATTGGATCAAACTTAACATCTCTTAATGTTCGACGCCTTGTGCACCAGATCTTATTTATTCACGATGTACTTACAAAAAAATCCGCAGACTACCTGCTGGATATCCTCTCTGTTTCAAAGAACAAATTTGACCTCAGGTCTTCGCTCATTTACCAGCTTCACATTCCCTATTGCCGTACAAAAACTGGAGGAAGGGCCTTTGCTATTGATGCCCCTAGGCCCTAGGGTCTGGAATGCTATTGCCAATAAACTGCAACTTGAATCGCTACCAATGAGATCTTCTCTCAAAACTGCTCTAGAGGAGTTGTACACCCCTAGCTGCCACTGCTATTCATTGGCATAAAATAAAATAAAATGTTTCGCTCCGGATGACGCTGCAAGGTATTATCTGTATTTTGATTTAGTGTGCTGATCTTAAAGGTGCATTGAAATTTTTGATACTCCGACTGATGCTTCTGTTGTTGTGGAGTAACTCATGCAGCCAGCTATGGCTCTAGGATTTGGTGTTACATGTTATTTATGTAGTTTATTGTAAAAAATTCGGTCACAGTCCCTATGATCACTGTTACGTTGCAATTATGGCTTTATTTTTTGGTGATTTCGAAAAGTTTTTTGGTTTGGACATGTTTGTTTTGTTGTAGTACGGAGTTAGACTGATGTCCTTAATCTAAGTTTTCTTGTGGTTGTTGTTGTTTGACTTGCATCCCACTGGGATTTTTTGCACACAGAGTTGGTGTACGGTGCTTTTTTCAGGAATATTTTGCTGTTTTTTCATGGATTTTCTGTTTGCACAGTCACATAGTCACTTTAAGATGTTTTCTTGTTCGTGTTTTTGTTTTTTGTTTGTTGTGGTTGCACCCGATTGAAGAGCCGTATGGCTCACAGGGCAATACCAAAATAAATAAACTGAACTGAAAACTGAACCACTGATACCAGGGCCCCTCTACAGCCACCACCATCACCAAGTCCACCATCACCAAGTCCACCATCACCAAGTCCACCATCACCAAGTCCACCATCACCAAGTCCACCATCACCAAGTCCACCATCACCAAGTCCACCATCATCACCCCAAGCACCCGGCTCACGCGCACCGTGAGGCCGCAGCGCCCCCTCCCGTGCTGCGCGCCGAATGACTCGGAGGCGAACGCCGCGAGCCGACACCACGGGGGGCGTAGCGGCGGCAGGGCCCGGGTGGAGGCGGTGTGTAGAGGCACGAATACCTGCGGGGGGGGGGGGGAGCTCGCAGTCTTTGAAAGTGGACATCACTCACATTCCCGTGGCGGGGCCAGGACATCCTGAAGCAGGAGCGCGGCGACGCATGACGTCAGGCCGTGACGTGACGTCATTTTAAATGGGCATGATGTTTTTACCAGTGGCGTCACATGTCGTTGACGTCACGTACAATCCGACTTCACAAACGTCACGAATGCGATAACGCGACGATGACGTCACGACGCGCGCTATGCAATGACGTCGCCAAACCAACTGGGCGGCGTCAGGACGCACGCGTGCGCGACGACGCACTCGGTGCCGCCGCTGCGTGATGACGCAGCGCGTCGCGTGACGTCACGCTTGGGGTCCGCTGTGCGGAGGCGGCGGGAGCAGCGGGGGCCCCGGGGACCCCGACTGCGCGTCCCTCCTCATCCCCTCGTTCCCTCATCCCCTCGCTCCCTCGTCCCGCCCGCCCGGGCCTCGCTCCCGCCACCATGGGGTGAGTGCGACTCCCGCTTTCCCCTCACCCCCGCGCCGCGCTCGCCCGGGTCCCGTTATTCGCGTTTACCACGGGGGCCCGGAGAGGGTCTCGGGGAGGGGGCCCAAGAATCGGGGTCTCGGTCGGGGTCCTGGAGTCCGGGCCCTGTGCGCTCTCTCTCTCCCCTTCGCCGCTGGGTCCGGGATTCGCTCACCCATCCCTGCGACACGGGACCCGCTGCCTCTCTCGGGGTCTCTTGCCTCTCTCTCGGGGTCTCAGGCTTCATCTCCCGCTTACTACCCCGTCTCCTATCGGGGACCCTGGACCCCGCCCGCCCCCCCCCCCCCGAGTTGCGGGCTCCGCTCGGGCAAGTAAACAAGCGAAGCCGCAGTCCGTATCAAATGCAGAGTCCAATTAAGAGTACCCCCTCGCCCCCCGCTGGTGCCGCGGGCACCCGGGGCCCCAGGGATCGCGGCCCCCTACCCCCAGAGGGACCAACCCGCCCCCCCCCCGCGAGAGCTATCGGCTGTGCCCGGCCCCCCGCTCTTGTCGCGCAGCATCTCGTGAACCCAGGAATGCGGCGCCGCGAAAAAAAATATCAAATGAACCCCGCGGCGAGAGACGTGGGGGTCCATAGATGGGAGGGGAGGCAGACACGCGGTGGAGGGACCCAGAGACGGGGTTGTGGCCAGGGCAAAGGGGCACGACAAGACCTGTAGAGACGGGAAGACATGGGAGAGTGGGTGGCCTTGGCCTATTAGGGCCTTGGGAATTTGAGGGACCTTGAGAGACTGGAGAGGCCATAGGAGACTGGGGTCTGCAGGTCATTGGGTGGCTGCGGTCATAGGTAGAATGGTGGACTTGAGAATGAAGGCCGAGCCTAGCGTTGTATGTGGGGGTGTGAGAAGGCAATGGGGTCTTGGGGAGGTTTGTGTAGCAGGTAGGACACTTTGGGGGGGGGGCGCAAAGGGGCTAAGAGGAGGTGGTGGGAGCCTTGTGAACAGGATGAGGATCAGAGAGGCGGAAGACAGGGCAACAATCACTGGTACCATTCCTGCTCGTGACGGCTACAGTCTATCGACAAAGCTGCTTTGCGGGAGAGATGGAGGGGCTTCTAGACCTACGTTCACACCATCCCATTGAGAGGGGCGGGGGGGCAGTGTTTTGTGGCTGTAACTGTTGGGCCACGCAAACATTGGTCAGTACATATTGAATGCAAGTCCAAGGTGGTGGTGATGCTGACCGCATGGCCTGTGTCCTTAATTTCTGCCAGACGTGGTGTGAGCGGGGCCTTGGGCAGGCACTGGGGTTAAAACTTGTTACGCTTGGAAGAAAAGCCAACGGTCAAAAATAACCCTGCAACCAACATTATTAATAAATTAAATGGCATTTGATGTTTGAATAACCATTACTGGGAAATGTGTCATGATATTGTGGCGTGGTGATGATGAGGAAGTGGGATGGGGGGTTGCGTTGTTTGCGAGAGGGTGGTGGTGGTGCATGAGGGTGTTGGGTAGAGTTAAGGTCCTACTGCAGGGTTACCCAGCGCGCAACTCAGTCTGAAGGCTGCAAGTTCAACCTAGACAAAGTTCCACTTAACCAATTGTCCATACGAGGTTGATCATATGAGAACCACTTTGTGAGGAGGCACAATTCCCATGGAGTCGCTGGCTATGCGCCAGTGTCACCATGCGACAGTACTAACATACAGGGCCACCCAGAGGTTCCTGGAGGCCGGGGGCAGAATTCCACCTGCGGGCCCTTTTATTCCACCGTTCAGAAGCCAATCCATATGTGGGGCCATATTCTGAGTGAGGCCTTTGGCAATTGCCCCCCTTTGCCCTGACATAATTCCTTGCACACCTCAGTGGGCCCAGGGCAGAGGTGAGTGCTGTTCATTTGAGCAAAGATGCAGCTCTTTAAATTTGCCTTCACAATGAGTGAGCACATAGTCCGTGATCATCATCAGATTGGTCCAGCGGTTAGTTGTTCTCTAGTCAGACGTTAATTTGTTTAAAACAGTTATGTAGGAAGCCAAAAAAAACACCTCCAAAATTCGTGGGTGATTGTATGCTGACCCAAGAGCAGTGGGTGTGAACCTTCACCAGAGCTCAGCCAGCACCGTCGCTCCAATGAACCGAAAATGCAGCCAAAAACCAAAGGAAAATTCTATAAAGGAAAGTTCCAGACAATACGGCTCACGCACTGGAATGCGTTCACCAGGAGACATCTCTGTCCTCTGTCACAGCAACATTTCCAGACCTCGTTACACCCAGTGCCTCGCGCTCATGGGGCCATAAAATATGGCACGGCAGAGGTTGTGCAGGGGCAGCTGAAGGGGCAGCCAAGGGAGCTGTAGCATTGCACCGATCTCCAGCGAGTGAACATCGTGTACGCAGCACCGTGTAAACATGGCCCTACGTTTTAAGCGGCTGAGTGTGTGTGGCGTGCACACGTGGCCCATCTTTGAGGAAAAGTGAATTCCTGGGGTATGGGTGAGGGGGGCGCACGCCGGTGCAGCTGAGCACACATCTTGTGTCATCTCGGGGCCGCCTCCACCCATCTTATGGATCGGGGGCAGCGCTTGCCCCGGACAAGCCCTGCTAGCCTTGGCTGTTCGTGTTACTGGGCCCGGCAAGAGACCCGCGCGCCATCCTGCCCGCTCCGCTCAACCTCACGCTGGCCGTGCGGCAGCACGTGGTCACAGCGGTATTTATAAGTGTGGTATTTTTGGGGATTGCTGATTCCAGCATGTGTGGAGGACGCGTACTGTCGGTGAATGCGAGGGGAGGGGAGGGCGAGCAGCAGGAGGAGAGGGCCGTCCCCTGGATACGGTGTTTGCGGTGCCAGCAGCCGGTGACTTCTCACCACCGGTGCTGGGCCCCATCTCTCCAAGCGATCATAAGGGAGAGCGTGGAGGGACCCAGGCCATCCGCCCCTTAAGCATACGGGGCTCGCGGCGCCCTCCGTATGGAGCTGACTGCGCAAAATCCTCGATTAAATCCATACGTGGCCAGCACGGGCGTCACGCTTCCATTAAGGGTGCCTGCGAAAGGTGGCAGTGGCCTTCCACGTGATTATTTTTACCTGACAGCTGTTGGATGTGTGATGAATTGAGGTCACGTTCTTAAAAAGATAATTACATGGGATGGGATTATAAATCGTGCACCCAACTTTGTAAAATGTTTGATCATTCCAAAAATGCTGTTTAACACCGTGTGGGTTTTTCCAAAAATTATAACAGAACTGCGCCATATGAACGAAGACCCGTGGTTACGGACTGCAGAGTCTTGCATCATCGAGTGCAGGAAAGACTCTGGAAGAGAATAGCACAGGTCTACGTCAATAGGCGTCTCTAATAGCGCCCTCCGCACAGCCACAGCGCAGCGCCCGCTGTGTGGAGAGGGGGCTGCTGAGTGGCTGTCTTCTCTTCAATGAACCCTTCCCTGCTGTACACCAGACTGCCGCGTCTCATCCACGCCGTGTTTAACCACCACAGCTCACAACAACGCCTCACTTTCTGCTTCTTTCCTCGCACTTTGGTATTCCTTCCCATCATCTTTTTCCCCCAAGATTTTGCAACCTCGTTCAGTCCAAGAAATGTGGTACTTCTTCTCCATCACAACTTTGTTGGTGATATTTGTTGCTGGCTCCTGGACGTTTTGGCCTTTGGGCCTGTGTTCAAGAACCATAAAAATACGTAGAAATGCACTATTGAGAGCTCCAGCTCTATACAATTGAGACATTGGTCCCTGCCATATGAATGTGGAAATTTCCCCACTGACTCGGGGATGCTTGCAGAGTTGATCACCGCCCCACGCTTAATTCACCTCTCTGAGCCACCTGGGCCTCCCGTCCACAAAAACCGCGAGGGGAGAGAGGATTGGTGTGAGGAGGAGAGCGCAGCCAGGGCCTGTGATTACCGCAGTGGGGGCTGGCGCACGGTGCCAGGGCCCGGCTGTAATTGCCAAGCGCCGTCATCCATGGCGGAGGCAACGCATCTCACCAGGCATGGCGACGCTTCTGAACCCTGTCCTTGTGGAGTGGTGTTAGTAGTGTGGTGTCGGAGGAAGTAGTGGTGGTGTGGGATTGCCAGTGTGCGGTGTGGTGTCAGTGGGGTGATGCATGCACTAGGGTGGCTAACATCTTTTTTTGTGTAACTGGTAACAGCATTGAAAGAAACGGTTACTGGTTTACAAACGAATAGAAATGTGTAGAGCAATAAACACAACGTGCTGCTGGGTGTGGGTGCTGCTGGGTGTGGGTGCTGCTGGGTGTGGGTGCTGCTGGGTGTGGGTGCTGCTGGGTGTGGGTGCTGCTGGGTGTGGGTGCTGCTGGGTGTGGGTGCTGCTGGGTGTGGGTGCTGCTGGGTGTGGGTGCTGCTGGGTGTGGGTGCTGCTGGGTGTGGGTGCTGCTGGGTGTGGGTGCTGCTGGGTGTGGGTGCTGCTGGGTGTGGGTGCTGCTGGGTGTGGGTGCTGCTGGGTGTGGGTGCTGCTGGGGGTGGGTGCTGCTGGGGGTGGGTGCTGCTGTGATGTGTTTGGCCGTGATATTGTCCAGCCACAGCGCTTTCGCTGCTGGTTGCAAAGGTTCGTGGTTTGATTCCAGCAGGCCGCCCTGGTTATTACTGCGGGTGAATCACCCAAAAAAAATACTACACGCCGTCTGCTCTCGATGGACGTTAAAGATCCCATGACGCCATTCGAAAAGAGTAGCAGGCCATTGTGTGCTGGTGTCATGGTCCAAATTAGAACATTTACACTGCAGATGACTCAGTTGGGATTAAACATAGCAACAACGCCCCCTTCTGTGTAACTACAGCAGACTGCCTGTGAAACATAGTGCCTGCATGATAGCTTTGTACTATGAGAATGGCGCAAATACCACATGTACTAATGATCTGGCTATGCGTGGTATGCGCGGTGCTTGTTTGGCTATATGAATGCGTTTGGGCTATATGTGTCGACTATGTGCTGTGTTGTCTATGTGAAGGATGTGTTGGCTATATGGAGGATGTGTGTTGGCTGTGTTGTCTATGTGAAGGATGTGTTTGCTATGTGAAGGATGTGTTGGCTACGTGCTGTGTTGTTGATGTGGAGGATGTGTTGGCTCTGCTGCATTGTCTGTGCGAAGGATGTGTCGGCTATGCGTTGTTGTTTAACGAGGGCAGCTGTTGGAGGCTGCAACCCTGCGTACTGTGCGAGTTGCTCGGGAGGAGCACAGTGGCGATGGTGTTGCAGCCGTAGTCGGGGTTTGGGTGGTATTAGGCATGGGATTTATGGGCGATTTGGGCGAGGAGGAGGGCGGCGGCTGTCATGTGCAGTCGCGACACTCCGGGACAGGTGGGGGATTCACAGGCACACGCATGAAGACAAAGATCCTCCATATAGCCAACACAGACTGTTCGGCCAAGTGCTGTTAGCGAGCGCCTACTATGCCCAGCACGGCGCACAAGGGGATGGTGTAGCCAGCACCAGACCCAATCACCGGTTCATTTAAGGCTGAACTGACCTAGGGGAGGCCCAGTTCTAGTTAAAATATTCACCACTGATGCCGGCCAGGCCGTAAATACAATTCAGATGGCCGGGTTTGTAGTGCAGTGCGCTAACCACTAAGCCAACGCTCTCTACAACACAGACACACACACGCGCTCGCATACTCGCACGCGCGCTCACACACTCACCCGCGCGCTCACACACTCGCCCGCGCACATTTGGTCAAAATCAGTCACACTTGCTGGCACATACGCGCTCCCACCATCACGCATATACACGCACAAATTCTCGCGCTCATTCTCACACAGACTCCGACGCGCGGACAAACGCACGCAGTCGCACACGTGAGCGCGCGGCACTGAAAGGGGGGTGTTATTTTAGACGTGAATGCCGAAGCTCTGGGGAGAGGAGAGAGACAGAGGCCGATTGTGTTGGCAGAGAAAGAGAGGGAAGAGAGAGAGAGAGAGAAACAGAGAAGTCATTACTACAGAGAGAAACACAGGCATATATACTGTACACATAGACGCTTAGCACACACAGCCACTCAAAATCATATAGACAATCGTACACAACACTCACAAACAAATAAACACATGCTCAGCCACACACAGGCAACCACAAACTCTGATAGCCACACACACACTCAGATTGCCACAAACATTCAACTGCTCTCAGCCACACACAATCTCAGATAGCCACACACTCTCAGATAGCCACACACAATCTCAGATTGCCACACACAATCTCAGATTGCCACACACTCTCAGATAGCCACACACTCTCAGATTGCCACACACTCTCAGATTGCCACACAATCTCAGAGAGCCACACACTCGCAGATAGCCACACACTCTCAGATAGCCACACTCAGCCACACAATCTCAGATTGCCACACACTCTCAGATAGCCACACTCAGCCAATCTCAGATTGCCACACAATCTCAGATAGCCACACAATCTCAGATAGCCACACAATCTCAGATAGCCACACAATCTCAGATTGCCACACAATCTCAGATAGCCACACACTCTCAGATTGCCACACACTCTAAAGATAGCCACACAATCTCAGATAGCCACACACTCTAAGATAGCCACACGCTCTCAGATAGCCACACGCTCTCAGATAGCCACACGCTCTCAGATAGCCACACAATCTCAGATAGCCACACAATCTCAGACAGTCACACGCTCTAAGATAGCCACACGCTCTCAGATAGCCACACAATCTCAGATAGCCACACGCTCTCAGATAGCCACACTCAGCCACACAATCTCAGATTGCCACACACTCTAAAGATAGCCACACGCTCTCAGATTGCCACACACTCTCAGATTGCCACACACTCTCAGATTGCCACACACTCTAAAGATAGCCACACGCTCTCAGATAGCCACACAATCTCAGATAGCCACACGCTCTCAGATAGCCACACGCTCTCAGATAGCCACACGCTCTCAGATAGCCACACACTCTCAGATAGCCACACTCAGCCACACAATCTCAGATTGCCACACAATCTCAGATAGCCACACAATCTCAGATAGCCACACACTCTCAGATAGCCACACTCAGCCACACAATCTCAGATTGCCACACACTCTCAGATAGCCACACAATCTCAGATTGCCACACACTCTCAGATTGCCACACAATCTCAGATTGCCACACAATCTCAGATATCCACACACTCTCACATAGCCACACACTCTCAGATAGCCACACTCAGTGAGCCACACTCAGCCACACACTCAGATAGCCACACAATCTCAGATTGCCACACACTCTCAGATAGCCACACACTCTCAGATTTCCACACACTCTCAGATTGCCACACTCTAAAGATAGCCACACGCTCTCAGATAGCCACACAATCTCAGATAGCCACACGCTCTCAGATAGCCACACGCTCTCAGATAGCCACACGCTCTCAGATAGCCACACACTCTCAGATAGCCACACTCAGCCACACAATCTCAGATAGCCACACAATCTCAGATAGCCACACAATCTCAGATAGCCACACACTCTCAGATAGCCACACTCAGCCACACAATCTCAGATTGCCACACACTCTCAGATAGCCACACAATCTCAGATTGCCACACAATCTCAGATTGCCACACACTCTCAGATTGCCACACAATCTCAGATATCCACACACTCTCACATAGCCACACACTCTCAGATAGCCACACTCAGTGAGCCACACTCAGCCACACACTCAGATAGCCACACAATCTCAGATTGCCACACACTCTCAGATAGCCACACGCTCTCAGATAGCCACACGCTCTCAGATAGCCACACGCTCTCAGATAGCCACACGCTCTCAGATAGCCACACGCTCTCAGATAGCCACACGCTCTCAGATAGCCACACGCTCTCAGATAGCCACACAATCTCAGATAGCCACACCCTCTCAGATAGCCACACGCTCTCAGATAGCCACACGCTCTCAGATAGTCACACGCTCTCAGATAGCCACACGCTCTCAGATTGCCACACACTCTAAAGATAGCCACACGCTCTCAGATAGCCACACGCTCTCAGATAGCCACATGCTCTCAGATAGCCACACGCTCTCAGATAGCCACACACTCTCAGATAGCCACACTCAGCCACACAATCTCAGATTGCCACACAATCTCAGATAGCCACACACTCTCAGATAGCCACACTCAGCCACACAATCTCAGATAGCCACACAATCTCAGATTGCCACACAATCTCAGATAGCCACACACTCTCAGATAGCTACACTCAGCCACACAATCTCAGATTGCCACACACTCTCAGATTGCCACACACTCTCAGATTGCCACACACTCTCAGATTGCCACACACTCAGATTGCCACACAACCTCAGATATCCACACAGTCTCACATAGCCACACACTCTCAGATAGCCACACTCAGCCAGCCACACTCAGCCACACACTCTCAGATAGCCACACGCTCTCAGATAGCCACACGCTCTCAGATAGCCACACGCTCTCAGATAGCCACTTGCTCTCAGATAGCCACACACTCTCAGATAGCCACACTCAGCCACACAATCTCAGATTGCCACACAATCTCAGATAGCCACACACTCTCAGATAGCCACACTCAGCCACACAATCTCAGATAGCCACACACCCTCAGATTGCCACACACTTTCAGATAGCCACACACTCTCAGATTGCCACACGCTCACACTCGGTGGAGAGTGCTGCGTGGGCACGTGGGCCGTGTCCACGTGCTGGTGACGCCATCTCCTCTGCCCCTGGCGCCGGCACCACCGCCATTGCCTTGGCCATGCCGTGCACGGCCTGCGCACGGCCCTCGCACGCCGTGGCGACAGGTGCCGCCCCCGTGTACACGTGCCGTGTACTGCTGCGTGGGGTGCCAGCTTCCTGCACCAGCAGCAGGTGTGTGTGTTCAGCAGGTGTGTGTGTGTTCAGTAGGTGTGTGCAGAAGGTGTGTGTGTGTTCAGCAGGTGTGTTCGCTCGCATAAGGAGTGTGTGTGCAAAAGGTGTGTGTGCGTGAGCAGCAGCTGTGTGTGTTTCGACGCCACCTCCCTACTGCAGTGTATGGTGGCACACACAAGCAGTGGCATGGAGGTGGAGTTGATAGATCATGCGGGGATGAGAGTTATGGCAAAGTGGGATTCCCACAGGCAGGGTAGGGAGCTGGTGCTATTTGGGCGAGGGGGGGGTGACAATACAGCAAGTAGGATTCTGAGCTATGTTTGTCTTTTCTTGTACGCCTGCGTTTTCTTCGGGCACTCTGGATTCCTTGGATGTAAAATGAAAACATTTGCTTAATGTTGCCAAGATAGAGACACACGAAATAGAGCGTGAATGATTCTGCTAGGGGCTTGCTGACCTAAAGTTCCCAATTAGTATGAGTAATTATTCATAATTAGTGAATTCACAGGTGTGTGTCGCCAGATGTGAGCCATGTACGTTCACTAACGAATCGAGCGCTAGCAGCACGGAGAGCGAGGGATGAGTTGTGCACCAGCTGGGTGAAATTGGGTGGTAATTCAGGCCGTGGGGGGTGCCAGGGTCTCGTGGTGGTGGGGAACGGCAGCCGTGGTACAAACACGACTGCGCGGGCCGAGTGCTGGCATAGCTCGGTGGTGGTGATGGTGATGCTGCTGTGGGAGGTGGTGACGGTGGTGATGGCTGTCGCGATATTGGTGGTGACGGTGGCAATGGCTGTGGTGGTCATGGTTGCGATGATGGTTGTGGTGATGGCAGTGCCGATGATGGTGGTGACAGTGAGGATAATGGTGGTGGTGATGGTAGAAGGACTTGGTGGAAGGGACTTGTTCAAGGATGGCTATGGAGGTAATTTGTAGATGGAGATCAACTGGAACCGTCAGTCACCCTGACCCCTGACCCTCCAAACCTCCCACCCTCCCCTGCAGGGAGCAGCCAATCTTCAGCACGAAGGCGCACGTGTTCCAGATCGACCCGGCCACCAAGAAGAACTGGGTCCCGGCGAGCAAGCAGGCGGTCGCCGTGTCCTACTACTACGACTCGGCCCGCAACGCCTACCGCATCATCAGCATGGACGGCACCAAGGTGAGCGGCGGGGCCCGCCAGGGGCCTGAGGGGGTTGCCGCCCCCCACCCCACCGGAGGGGCCACCTTGCCGACCGACAGCACCGCTGGCTGCAGCTGCTTCCTTGAACGCTGCCTTCCGAGCTTCCTGACTCACAACGCAATGCGTGTACAGTGCTTGGGCAGGCAAGACGGGTGGGGGCCACGCAGTGTGGGAGGTAGCGGCGAGGTGGGGATGAGGAGTAGTAGTAATGGGGGTTGGGATGTTGTTGCAGGACCAGGCGAGCGTGTGGTGGTGGTGGTGGTCACATTGTGAGGCCGAGGATGCTGGTGGTGGTGAGGAGTTGGGAGGTTGTTGCGGTTGGATTCTTGCAGGCATGTGGGCATGCTACGGAGCGTGCACGGTGGTGGTGGACAGGGCGGTGAGGAGCGTTGTTGGTCATGGTGGTGGTGGCGGGGGAGGGGTTGTTGGTTACGATGCCGAGGCGCTCATTGCTTTCACTGGACGCCGGCCCAGTTCTGCCGAGGAGGGGAGCGGGGAGCGGGGTGAGTGGAGTGGGGAGGGAGCAACAGGAGTGAGAAAAAAAAGCGTGGACATTCTTGTGAGCTGAGGCACGACAGCGACGCTGGGCCCCAGCCACTTCACATTCCCGGCTCTGGCCGGACCAACTGTGTGTGATGTCGGGCACCGTGGTGTCGATTGCCCCTCCAACTTCCCTCTCTCATGGCCCCCCCCTCCCCCATTCCCTGGTGCCCAGGTGATCATCAACAGCACGGTGACGCCAAACATGGCGTTCACCAAGACGTCACAGAAGTTTGGGCAGTGGGCAGACAGCCGTGCCAACACGGTCTACGGCCTGGGCTTCTCATCCGAGCAGCATCTCACCAAGGTGCCCCCACTCGTCCGCCTCCTCCTCCTCCTCTCCTTAAATTAGTACCTGGTGCAGTGTGTAAAACATCAGACAAAGGTGGCTGGGCGTGGTGTTGGCCACCCACATGCTGGTGCACCTTGCCGACTAACAGCACTTTCTCGCAGAGCCTGTTGAGGCTATAGGGAGATATTTGTCTTTGTGTATGGACTGTGCTGCGCCCCCTCCCCCACCCTCTCCTCAGTTTGCGGAGAAGTTCCAGGAGGTGAAGGAGGCAGCGCGCACGGCGAGAGAGAAATCGCAGGAAAAGGTGGAGACGTCCAGCAACCACTCGCAGGTATGTCCACCCTCCAGGTCACAACCCCATGACCCCTCCAGGTCACGAACCCTCCAGGTCACGAACCCAAATGCACGACAGACCTCCGATGTCACTTTTCAGCACAAACGGCACAATGGCAAGGGCTGTGGAGATGCCACCGGTGCAGGGCAGGAGGAGGGGAGACCGAGCGGGAGGCGAGAGGATGCGGTGGCGCGAGGACGGCGAATTGCTCAGAGAGAAGAGGCACGGAGCAGAAGCTCATGGAGAGAGAAAATCCGAGCAGCCGACACTTTGCATTGGTGGGACTTCGAGGGAGAAGAGTGGTGGCGCGGTTGCGGTTGTGGCGCGGTTGTGGTGCGGTGGTTGTAACACGAACGCCGGCGCGGTCGCCCCCACGCAGGAGTCGAGCAGCAGCGACTCGGCGAGCCAGCAGCAGCAGCAGCAGCAACCGCCCCAGCACCCGACGGGCACGCCTGGGCCCCCTGGAGCCACGGGGCCCACGGGGCCCCCCGGGACCCCCGGGACCCCCGGCACCCCCGGGCAGCCCCCCGCCTACAACGGCACAGACGACGAGAAGGTGACGCAGGGCGTCCCCGTAGAGGCCCAGCTCTCCTACGAGAACGAGCGACTCAAGGTGGCGCTCGCCCAGAGGTGAGGTGGAGGAGAGGGGAAGCGAGGGGCGAGCGAGGGGCGAGCGAGGGGCGAGCTGTATAATTGACCTTGAAAGGCGTCGTATATAAAAGTTAAGTTCTTGTTGTTGTTCTCGTCGCTCAGCTCCGCCAACGGCAAGAAGTGGGAGGTGGAGTTGCAGGCGCTGAAGAGCAGCAACTCTCGGCTGTCGGCGGCGCTCACCGACGCGACCGCCAGCGCCGACGCGGGGAAGCAGCAGCTCCACGCACTGCAGGGGGAGGCAGAGCACCTGCGGCAGAGGGTGGGGACATGGGGGAGGGGGGCGGCAGAGGGGGGAGGCACTCGCGGGCAAACTGAGGGGAGCTCTGGCAGTGCTTAACGTGTCTGTGCTGCGTGTTCACGCACTCACTCCCCACACCTGCTCGGCCCCCCCTCATCCGCTTTACCCCACCCTCCCACTCCCCGCTCACCCGCCAGGTGTTGGAGCTGGAGAGCGAGACGGGGGAGAGCGGCGCCGCGGCCGAGAGAAACTCGGAGCTGGCGCAGCGTGTGGAGCTGCTGGAGGCGACGCTGCACGAGAGGGAAGAGGTGAGGGGGAGTGAGCGGGACGCCGGAGTGCGTACACACGTGTGTGCGTTTCTGCGCGAGTGCGTGCGTCGCCGTGTGTAAATGCACGTCACTGCGCGTGTAGGAGGTGGAGAGGCTGAAGCTGCAGCAAGAGGTGGTGCAGCAGGTGGAGGCGCAGAGGGACGCCGCATCCCGCCAGCTCAAGGTGCGTCCGTGTGTTCTCATGTACGCGTGCATTTTCTTGTGGTGCGTTTATAGGGCCATATGTGAGTGGAGCGTTGTGGTGTAGAGTGGAACATGCAGGGTAGTGTCTGGCGGAGGATTGAGTGGAGCGTGACGCGAAGAGCGGTGGAGTGCACGGTAGAATGGTGGAGCGGAGCACGTGGGTGGAGCGCTGCGGCCTGAGGCCCTAGCGAGTGGCCCTCTCCCCCATGCAGGAGACGGAGGAGCGGGCCGAGGGGCTGGCGGCGCGTGTGGCCGAGCTGGAGGAGGCCGTGGGCGCCGCTCGGGCCCAGCAGCTGGAGCAGGGCGAGCGCCTGCGCGATGTCCTGGGCGTTCTCGATGGCAAGATCTCCGAGCTCACCGAGCTACGCGAGAGCGTCGCCAAGCTGGTGCTCGCCGACTAACGCGGGCCGCCGCACCGCCGGCAGGCGGGTGGGCAGAGCGCCACCGAGCCCCGTGGGAGGCGCCGACATCAACGCACACGCGCGCACGTACTCGCGCACACGCACGGCAGCTTGCATGCATTTGTCGGGAGACGGTGCCGCTCCCCGGGGCTCGGTCCCGCGGTGACGGCGGCGGTGGCGACGGACCGCACCGAACGCCATCGTCGAGAGCACCGCGGCAAAGGTCGCGGGTGGCGACGACCCCCTGGCGGCCGGGGCTCGGGGTTTGAGCGGCCGCCCGCTGCGAGGAGCGGGCGAGGCCGCCGGCGTCGATGTCAGGCCCGTGTGGGGCGCGCCCTCCGCCGGGCCCGCGCCACGTCCGCCGCACGGTCGTGAGGCCGCGCGACGACGGCGGTCGCCGTGGATGACGAAATCGGACCCGGAGTTACTAACGCTCGTAATCGTAGCAAATCGTACTGTGGGCGCGCGGTCCGCTCCGCTCCCGTTACGGGTGTGCAGGACCCCCCCCCCGCCCCCCACCCCCGGGCGGGCTTGCGGGAGGCCCCGTCCCCCCTTGGCGGGTGCGTGGGCCCCATCGCGGACGTGTGGGAGGCTCGCTGCTGTCCCCGCGCACCATCTCGTGTCCGTCCATTCGCTGTGCGGCGTCATTTGGTAGATTTAGGTCCCTCTCGGCATACGTATCAAATATCGTGCAGTATTTCCAGTGAATGGACTTAGGGCTGAACGACTATTGTGTAGTAACCAAATACCTTCCATCCAATCAAATATCCACGTATGAGCCATAGTATATATTATCAAATGTGTAGGAGGACTTGCTTGGAGTCGCACTTATATCGTTCATCCGTGGCCGTGTTTAGGCGTAGTGCCGTGCGCGATCGCGTGGAGTGCGACAGCTTCTCCCACGATGCTGCTGCTACTGCTGCTGCCCACGGCGCTCAGGCGTCGGGCAGCAGGGGTCAGGGGTCAGGGCAGCCACCCCGTGCGTTAAAAGGTGTCTTGGGGACCGCGGTGTGGGGTAGGCCGCGTCCCCTTTGCCGCTGGGGACCGGAGGATCGGAGGGCGGGGAGGGGGGGGGGGCGCCTGCGAGAGGAGGGGGCGGGGAGTGGGTGGTTTTTTTCGGGGGGGGGGGTGGTGCCTTGAGGTCGCCTTCATCCCCCCGGGGTTCCGCCCCCTTCCCTCGCGGCCGGGGGTCACAGGTCTCGCAGTCTTCCTCTCGAGCGGGCCGTCAGTCCGGGTGCCGTCCCCCACGCCTTGCCACCACCGCCGACGAGGACGTCCGCGACCAACGCGGCAAACGCACCACCGCAGTGGCCGAGACGGAGGCACGGGCGCGACGGCGGCCGGTGTGAGCTCTCTCCAACGTCAGGGTCGGCTCGGGCTGGCGAGACCGCGTCTCTTTTGTAATTTTCGCGAGGTCGTTTCGAGGGGGCGTTCGGATGTTTTTTTTTTGAATGGGGATACTTTGCCAATCGTTAAGCTACTACTATTATTACTACTGTGCGGTATCAAGTTTTATTTGTGGGTTTTAAGTAGTGCAGTATTACTTTATTTATCGAGAAACTTGAGAGGCGTTCCAAGTAATGGGCAGCCCTGGGAAAGCTCATCTTTTGCCGACGTTCGAGCCAGCGAGGTCGAGCGTCCCTCGCGACGTCGAGTGTGTCAACCCGTGCGACACGTTTCAGTTGGGCCTACGATCAAAACGAGAGCGACGGTGGGGGCCCTCCCCGCTGAGGGAGCGCCGACCCGCGACGAGAGACGCTGTTGGTTTCTGCCCCGACCCCGCGTCGTGCAGCTCCTCTTTTTTTTTTCCACTGCGAATAAATCGTTGTCCGTGGCGCCGACGTCCCCTCGTGTCCTCTGTCCGTTTGGGGACTCTGTTTAGGGACTCCGTTAGCGGCCGTGGCATCGTTCCCTCTGGCATGGTTGGCCAGTTCCCCTGCGAGTCGTCGTGTGTGAGAGATGGGGGTGCCAAGAGAAAAGCTGTCGCGTAAACGAGGTGGCACTTCATATGCAACCTCCATGCACTGCGCTCCCGTGGCGATGTCGCCAGGTGGGGTGATCTGGGATTTCTGGCTTTAATTTGTCGTTCTTGCCCTGCACCTCCGATTCACATGGTTGGCTACATAAGATGCAAAAGTTTAACATACATATCGGTGATGAATATCTGAACCCGTGCCAAGCCACCTTTAGGTCGACTTGGCTGTAAATGAGCACCTGTTGCAGTGCGTAGTCATCTACACCGAGGGAACAAAGGCGGGTGTGGTGTGGATTGTACTACCACCGAGTGGACCCTGCCAACCTTAATAGGTGCTCGCCATCAGAATGTATTCAACTCTCTCAGGCTTAACTGGGGGGGGGGTGGGGGGAATGGTGCTTTGTGCAGCAGCGATGCAAAAATAGCCCTCGCTCCCAGCATTTCTCCGTCACCGCTCAAAGCTCCCTCTTCCTCGTGGCACTGTCGACTTGCTGCTCCCCACACCGGCTGCTTGCACGCCGCTGCCCAGGTTCTGGGGTTGTGCCACCTTGAGACGTCGTTCGATGCTACGTGTCGCTCCGCTGCTCAAGAGCTTCAAGAGCTTCAAGAGCGAGATTCAATTCCTGAATTAAACTTCAGTTCCTGCAGAAGCTCCACATGCAAAAAAAAAGTCCGATTTAATGTCAGACGCACAACACAACCCAAAAACACGAGGTATGCGTACCACGCACATGGTACATGCACAGATGTGTACACACGGTATCAGCACAAGAAATGAACACTGCCTCATTGGTCATGAGTAAAAAGTCATTTATAAGTCTACGAGCCTAGGTAAGTCTACAAATCTCAGTCTTGTGAGAAAGCAATGCAACCATATCCGAAGACGCTGTAGAACAGTGGGCATATTTATTTTATACAGAGGCAGTCGGTCATAGGCAGGGGAAACGGGGAAAGTGTTGAGAGTAAATGGGTTTACACGAGTCGGTTATACAAGTCCTGTGCTTAATTAACCCTGGGTGTTCATGAGAGAAATCTCTGGTCTCGGTGACCTCTCTCCTGTATGGTCTGGATACCGGAGGCCATAAACGTGCCCCGAATCGGCTGGCGTCAGGGACACGGGTGACTTCCGCTTCCTCCAGAAGCAAGGTTTTGGTCAACTCGGAGACCCGGGCGCTCCCCATCACCACCACTCCCAGCGACTCGGAGAGACGAGGCCTCATCCTGGAGTCAAAACACAAACCCTGCTCCTTGGTGGCTGGGGCAGGGGCCAACATCGTGGGAGTGCCGTTGGGGATGAGACCGCCTGACAAACTTAAACCACAGCCATCTCCGATCCTGCTGCTGCCAATCCAGGCTCTTTTGTTTCTTCTCCTGTTGCTGATTTTCCTGCTTCAGGTGCAGCGGTGACTTGCTGCTCATTGTGCTGCGGCCAACGCTGCCCCCAACACGGGCAGCGCGAAGACGCTCCACCTCCCACACGGGGGCACCGTCTCGCTCGTCACGAGTGCAGCGCGGTCGGTGCTGGGGATCACGCCGCACCCAGAGCCAGGGACTCGACGTCATTGGACTCGAGAACCAGGATCCAAGGTCATTGGGTCAGGACCTTGGATTCTAATTCACTACTGGACTGGGTCACTGGACACCAGTCTCCTGTGACCTGGGTAACTGTGCAAGATCACCTGACCCCCAGGGGAAGGGGCGAGTGCGGCTTCATTAACACAAAACCGTTTAAAAGCCAGACGCCTATAAATAACATCGTGTACAGTCATCTAGATGAGTTTGTAAAACACGTGGAGGTTAAACTCAAAAGCACATCGGCACGCCCCGTGTAGTGTTGAGCGAGGGGCGCTTCGCGGGACCCAAGCTACCGGAAGGGCGGAGGCCGAGCACCACGGGAGGGGCGAGTGCGGGGCACATGTGAGGCCAGCGGGATCCCTGTGCTGAAGACCTCCTGGCAGAAAGGTGCCATTGCTCCTTCCTTACCCAAGAACCTACTTTGCAATCGTCACTTCTCAACAAGCACCATCCCGATCTCACCCTCCCCCACCCCCTCTCGACCATGGCAGCTCCCGTAGCCTCTCCGCCGGTGTCCGCTCCATGGTGGGTGCACACGCCCCCGTGTCTCGATTCCCCCACCCCGGGCTCCCTGCTCGGCCCGTAGCGGCGCCAGGGATGCCGGCGCCGGCACCGCGACTCCCACGGCGTTTAAAGTGAACGTGCTGCGCCGCAGCCCCTTCTGGAACCAGAGCCTGGGACCGGGTGTTCAACCCGGCCGGCTTCGACAGCGAGGCGCTCGAGTTGCGAGTCGTGCAGACGAGGCCTCACAGTGAGGGACCCGGGTTTGACCCCGGGCCCCTGGTGCATCATAGGGGAGTAGGATACAAGTCTCCCCCAGCCAATAAATAAACACAATACTGATTTTTTTTTTGCATAAAAATCATAAAATGCTCAATTAAATAAAGACGGAGTACAAATGTTGAACGAGGGCAGCGCCACTGGGTCCCGTTGCCGAGAGCCCCAACATGTTAATTAGACGGTCTCGTTCAACTAACGAGGGTCGTTAAGAGCTTCGACTCCCTCGTCGTGCGGCACGGGCGGTGCCGGCGGCTCGTGCGGGGCCGCCCCCCCCCCCCCCGTGCCCTGCTCGGTGTCGTGCACTCCGCCGGCCGAGGCCCCGGCAATTCCCGGCTCGCGCAGGCTGCACGATGGCCGGACCCCTCTCCTCCTCCCTCCACGGGCGCGGCTAAGTTGGTGCGCCGGGCCCCCAGGCGGGCGACGCTCAGCTCTCCCACTCGCCGCTCATCATGTTTTCCTCTTCCTCCTCCTCCTCGTCCGAGTCGGGCGACGCCTCCTTGATCCTCATCATCGCCTGGCGGATGCTACGCGTGAGGGGGTCTGCGTCGGGGTAGGTGCGGGGCCCGTCGGCGTCCAGGCCACCGGGCACCACCTTCTTGAGCTTCACGCCACGGCGGATCTGCGCCATGAGGCTGTCCTCGTCGCCCTCGTCGCCCTCGGAGGGCGCTGGCTGCCGCTCCGCTACCTTGCGCAGGTGGAACCCCCCGCGCTTCAGCGACGCCAGCACCTCGTCCATGGGGGAGCCTGGGGGTGGCACGGAGAAGTGTGGTGGCGCGGGTGGGGAATGAGGTGGTAATGCGCATGTTGGCATGCACGCGGAGACACGGGCACACAGCTAATAGATACATAGAGACATTGGCACTCACAAATGCATAAGCACAGACTACAGACAAAGATTCCTCATATAGCCTTGAGCAGACTGTTGGGGCAAGTGCTGTTCTACGAAGGCCGGCACGGCACACGAGGGTGTGGGTGGCCAGCACCATGCCTACCGTCTATGTCTCCCTAGTGGTGATGTTTACACATTTCATCAGGTACTCCTTTGAGACTGAATCGACCTAGGGGAGGCCCAGGACTGGTGCAGATAATCGTCACTGGTGTCGGCCATGAGCGGAAATCGAACTCGGGTTGCCGGATTCATAGCACAGCGCGCGAACCGCTACACCACCAGGCGCAGAGACACGTATATCAATGAGCACCTATGAAGGCCAACATGCACGAACACACGCGTGTGCAGGCACGTGTAACGTGCAGGTCGCGTCGATGCAGACCGCACAGCGCTGACCGTGAGTCGCGACCACGTGTCCAGACAACACGCGGAACGCGACGCAGAGCAACACAACGCAGACACTGTGGGCAGCACGGACACGAGATCGCGCCAGACACGGCCGTGCACAAACGTGGTGCCAGGTACAGTGACTTACAACATCAAGTACAGTGTGCCAAGTACAGTGTGCTAAGAACAGAACTCGGCCGAGACTTCAAGGCCGAGCTCGTTTGCTGCACTCCCCCAGCTCCCTCTGGGAAAACTAAAAATAAAGTAACCACTCAGCAAAACCATGAGCACGGAGCCTCCTCCTCCCACAGACATGTGAATACACACGCAAATATACTACACAACACTCCCACTCACCCCGACAATGCACACCTCCTTAGGTATTTACACAAAGTCCCACACCCAAAACAAAGATCTCCTGTGCAGCATTGGCCAGACTACAGTTTCCCCAGTGTAAACCAACACATTACACACACGCACCGCCACTACACATCCCGTTGACACGCACCACCCCCCTCGCGTGCCCCTACCCCTGCGCTCCGCTGCGGGGGCCGTGTTGCCGTCCTCGCTGCTGCCGCGTGCCGCGCTGCGCAGGCGGCTCCGCGCGTCGCGCAGCAGCCCCGTGTCGAGCAGCAGCGTGGCGACGGGCGCCGCCACCGCCTCTTTCCGGGCGACGCGCTCGGCGCGCCCGCTTGTCCCGGTGGTGCCCGGCGGATCCGGCGATGGCAGCGGCGGAGGGGGCGGGGGGCACGGCGGGGGCGGCGGTGGCAGCGGGGGAGGGGGGGGCGGCGGAGGGGGAGGGCCGGGAGGTGGCGGCGGCGGCGCCGTGAGCGGCCGTGGAGGAGACTCGTCCCGCGGTGCGGCTTCGGCTTCGTCCGCCCCTGCACCGCCTCCCGAGCCCCCCGCCGCGGGCGGCGCCGCGCAGAAGATGCGAACGGGGATGTCGCGGGGGGCACGTGGGGCCCGGGCCCCCCGCTCGGGCTTGCGTGCCGGCGCCTGCCACGGTTTCGGGGTCTCGGTGCGGAGCAGCGGCTGCGGCTGCGACGATGGCGACGAGGAGGATGAGGAGACGGAGCAGAGCGACAGGAGCGACGGGGAGCGGCTGCTCACGGCGCTGATGGTACCGCCACCGCCGCCGCGCCGTGTGCTCGGGGGTTGGTAGCGTGGAGGGCGCAGCACCATCTGCTGTGGGTGTTTCTGTTTGCCCGCCCACACACGCGCACCGATCAACCACGCAACCACGTGCACGCGCATGAGTACGAGACGGCTGGTACAGTGGGCAGCATGGGTGGCGCATCTGCCGGCTATCTCGGCCCCGTGACTTGCCAACCTTCCACGCTTCACACGGTCTCATGGTAAGCCTAGTCCGGCGCGAGCACTGCAGTGACATCAGCGTCAAACGGCCGTCACTCGCTACTAAGTGTGGGTGATGTCACCGCAGTGCTTGTGCCGGGCTAGGTGCACTTTGAGGTCATGTGAACTGTTAAACACTCGGTGGCAGGAGGCCACGGGACAGACCACCATGTTACAGGTTAACAGGGATGATCGACAGGTAGCAGCATCACCCCATGCTCCCCACACTGCTACCAGTATCCAACGGCAGCCATAGCTGCGGCTGTTGCGGTTGTCGGGCGATTGTAGCTGGGCCGTGCGTCTCCGGTGGTCGGAGCCGCACGGCGCCCGTGCGCGCTCGTACCTGGCGGTACGCCTGCAGCCGCTCCAGCGTCTTCTGCCGCTCGCTCTGCACTCGCTCGCTCTCCATCCTCCTCCCCTCCCGCTGCTGCTCCCGCTTCTGTTCAGCCAAACACGGGGGGGGGGGGGCAGAGGCTCAGGGTCACGCACACACGGCGGTGGCAGCACAGGGGAGCCACCCCAGCGTGGAGACGCACGATGCTCACCGCAGTCCCCACGCTCACCGCCATTTCCACGCTCACCGCCGTCACCTTGGCAGTGAGCGTGGCGATGGAGGCGAGCGTGGCGGTGCGTCGTTCTCCATATTAAAAACGTGGGTGGGCATCGCTCGGGGAGACGACCGCAGGAGGATCGGGCCTAGCCGTGACGACGGCACCGCTCATCGGCGGGTGCACGGCGACACTCTGCGGGTGCACCACGACACTCACCAGGTGCACCGCGACACTCACCAGGTGCACCGCGACACTCACCAGGTGCACCGCGACACTCACCAGGTGCACCGCGACACTCACCAGGTGCACGGCGACACTCACCAGGTGCACCGCGACACTCACCAGGTGCACCGCGACACTCACCAGGTGCACTGCGACACTCACCAGGTGCACCACGACACTCACCAGGTGCACCACGACACTCACCAGGTGCACCACGACACTCACCAGGTGCACCGCGACACTCACCAGGTGCACCACGACACTCACCAGGTGCACTGCGACACTCACCAGGTGCACCGCAACACTCACCAGGTGCACGGCGACACTCACCAGGTGCACCGCGACACTCACCAGGTGCACCGCGACACTCACCAGGTGCACCGCGACACCAGGTGCACCGCGACACTCACCAGGTGCACCGCGACACTCACCAGGTGCACCGCGACACTCACCAGGTGCACCGCGACACTCACCAGGTGCACGGCGTGGTGCTGCCGGTAGCGCTCGTCGCGCTGCTCCTGCTCCTGCTCCTTCTGCCTTTGCCGAGCGATGCACGTCTCCTGCGGGGGGCGGTTAGAGGCTTTAGTTTGCTAAGAGTGGTCTCGGTGACCGCAGTGACCAACGTCAAAACTCGGCACAACACTGCAGACAAATTACTTTTTAAAACGTTCACAGTAAAATGAAGCTTCAGAAACAACTACAACAATTTAGGGTGATTATTGCAAGAGGATTTAAAGAAACATCCCAATATGGGGCCACAAAAAAAGTCAGTGAGGCTTAGGCAGGACGCATCATGGCTAAGAAGGGACCATGGAGAACGCTTTAGAAGAATAACGGAGCGGCCGCTACAGAACGGAGCGCGTCCCAGACCACGTCCACCCTGGAGATGCAGCGATGAGATCGGTTCGCGAGCTGCCGCGCGGGGGATCTTGAGAGGTGGCGGCGAGTTGGGGGAGGAGGCCTTCATCCAGCAGTGGATTGACCATGGCTAATGACGTCGAGAACCATCTAAGGCTTTATGGGAGGAGACTACAGGGGGGGGGGGGGGGCAGGGGGTAGGGGGGGGGTTTGCGTACCCGCTTGCTGCGCAGGTACGCGCGCTTAGAGGATATGCGCGCCCGCTTGCTCTGCAGTCGTAGCGCCTGTTGACGGAGCCGCGCCGTCTCCGCCGCCCCCGCCGCCTGCTGGGCGCGGAAGTGCACGGAGGCCTCCAGGTCCTCCAGGCTCTCGTACGCGTCGAAGTACATCACCTCGTCCTCGCGTTCTGCGCCGCACGGCCACGCGCATCGTTACCGCGGGCGCCAGTGTGCGTGCGCGCGTGCCAACGCGATTGTGCGTGTCGAGAGGTGGTCGCACGCGCGCGCTCCTCACCGCGGATCTGCCGCTTGAGCGAGTCGAGCGAGGTAGTGAGCAGCTGCTCCTCACAGCGCAGGCTCTCCAGCTGCGCCGCGTACAGCTCCAGCTGCACGCCATAGAAGTCGCGTTCCAGCGCGTCGAGCCGCTCCTGCGCGTCCTCTCCCGCCGTCATCTCCGACATCTACACACACATGCAAGCGTCATCCACGCACGCGACAACAGCCACCGTTCGCCTCTACGTGGTGGGGATGTCACCGTGGCGCTTGCGCCAGGCTTGGAAAACTCTGAGGCCACGTGAAGTGTGGAAGTTCATGGGACAGACCCAGGTGCCATAATCTCCGCCGCCCTCTGTTGTTGTTGGAGGGCGACTGCCTCCAACTGCCCAATCGAGTCCTTCACGTGCCTCATCGGAAAGTCCACTCGGCTACACAGCATTCTGGACCACATCAGTCCATCTCTCTAGCCTGTGCCACACCCATTTAGCCCCCTCCATCCAGCCAAACAGAAGCTGCTTGGGCATGCAGTGCCTGAGCATGCAGGCGACATGACCCACCCAACGCAGCCTCACCTGCCGGAGGAGCTCACCGATGATGACTATTGTGTTCAGATCTTTCACAAACACAAATATACACACACGCATACAAGCACGGACAAACGTAACACGTACATACAGACACACAGACACTACAAACGCACACACACCCTTACATATGGCACTATGGCAGTGCCTGAGGCAAGGCAAGGGGTGAGGGCGAGGGCAGGGTGGCGAGCGGCCGCGCACCTCACGCTTGATGTCTTGCCGCTTGCGCGTGAGACACATCTCGCGTCCCCGCATCAGCTGCAGCGTCTCCTTGGCGACGAGGAAGCGCAGGCGCTCGAGGCGCGGCAGCACCGTGCCCCACGCCGCCTGCCCAAACTGCCGCTCGTCGGCCTCCATCTGACTCAGCAAGGCTGACAAAGACAAACATCCTCTATAGACTCAACATCACTGTTAGAGAGCAGCACTTATGAAAGCCGGCAAAGCACACGAGGGGGTGAGTGGCCAGGACCTTGCCTGGCCGCCTTTGTCTCCCCAGTGCTGATCTTTATACACCATACTAGGTATTACTTTGAGGCCAAGTCAATCTAGGGGAGGCCCAGGACCGGTTTAGACATTTGTGTTGACCATGAGTGGGAATTGAACTCGGATCGCTGGGTTCGTAGCGCTGCGCACTTACCGCTGCGCCACCACTCCCGGAGATGAAGCCCACCGCCTTCCCCCAAAGAGCTGTCACCCCAAGCTCCGTGACCCCCAACTCCATGGAGCGCCGCCAGAATCGATCGCAATACACCCACGCTCGCGCACCGCGGCAATAATCGTGTAAACTCCCCCCTCACACCCACGGTGGCTGCGCACCCTTGAGGGCCTTGACGGTGGTGTGGAAGTACTGCACGGTGATGTCCTGGATAGCGTGCACCGCGTGTTCCGCCTTCTGCGCCCAGTCCTGCTCATCGCGCTGCAGCTCCTGCACACGCCGGGGGCCTAGCTCCTCCGAATCCAGCGTCTTCTGCAGGGCAGGGGGGAGACACAGGGAGTGAGACGGGAGGTCAGGATTCCACAGGAGCAGATCGCCAGTGCTGCCCCGTGATCCCCTTCTGACTTGTCACCCCATGCTCCCCACTAACCTCACCATTTGTTGAACTGACGCTCATCCCGAGTGAACCCTGTGCTGCTTCGTGCCCCGTTCTGCACTCTGACCGCGAGCCTCCCTCTTGCCCCAAACTGTTAACCGCTCGGCCAGAACCACCCTCCAAACCCATGCCGACCCCTGACCTAGTACTACCCTGACCCTACGCCACCCTCTAACTACACGCCACCTCCCGACCCCTTGCCGCCTGACCCTTGACCCCTAATCGCTCCCTTACCCCAAACTACCCCCGTAACCCCGACCCCGCGTGGCCCCACCCCCGAGCCCGCGTGCCCCCCGCCTCCTGACCCGGATGAGCTGGCGCTGCAGCATGGCGAGCTCGCGCATGTCGCGGAAGGGCTGCAGCAGGTACTGGTGCAGCTCGGCGGCGGTGGTGACCAGCTGCTCGTACGCATCGTCCTCCGCCGCGTACACGCACAGCATGTCCACCAGTCGCTCCGTGCGCTTGTGCTGCTCAAACGTCTGTGCACACACGCACACACAAATATATTATGAAAGATGTCCCATATAGCCTGAACAGACTGTTGGGGAAAGTGCTGTTAGCAAGCACCTATGAAGGCCGGCACGGCACATGATTGAGTGGTGCGGACAACACCACGTTCGGCCACCTTTGTCGATGTTTTACACATGGCACTAGATACTCATTTAAGGCTGTGTCGACCTAGGGAAGACCCAGGATCAGTTCAGATATTCGACACGGATGTTGGTCATGAGTGGGAATCGAACTCGGACCGCTCCCCACACACCTGCACAATCAGGCATCATCTTGTTGTTCAGTAACCCAATCACACCTCACATTATCGGTAAAAGAACCAACCCTTTGGCCTGACCTCTCTAAAAGGTGGGCATACAAACACTCGGAGGGGGAAGGGGCACGACATAGCCAATGAGTGTGAAAGGCTCAGCAGCACAGGGAACACAACGATCTGCTTTGGCCTGCCGTGCCTCTGCTCCAGCCCTCTGGATGTGAGGCACGCGCGCACAGCAGCACCTTCATGAAATAGGCTGTGGGTGTTCTCTGGGGGAATCGCAGCTGGTGGGTAAACATCGTGCCAACACTTTGTGACTTAACCTTAAAGTTCGGAAGGAGGTGGGACTCAGCCTTCCGCAGAGGGTGGGTGGGTGGGGGCGCTCCGCCCTTTCCAGCCTCCTCCAACGCTGCGGGGCTGGACACGATCACACCTCGTGTCATCAGCGGTTGACACGATTGCGCCTCGTGTCTCCCGTCGGTGACGCAATCAGTGACGCAATGGTACTGGCGGAGCCGACGTGTGACCCCAACAAGTCCACGCCAACGCCGCGTGGGCACGGGTGGCAGGTTCACGGGTGGCAGGGCGGCCCGTAACACCGCCCAGAACTAGTGCACCAAACCTCTCGTCTGACCCTGCACAGGACCCCCCCGTCGGCTTCGATCCGACCAGAAGACACGGAACCACGCTCATTCACCGCACGAAGACCTCACACAAACACCGCGCAAATGAAAGAGAACGACGCAGGCCGTGAACCTCGCCCTCAACCACCGCCCCGTGCGGTTGCTCAGCAGAGGAGTGGAGGAGTCGCTCCTCACGGCCTCCACAAATATCGGCAATCAGCTAAATAACCTGGACCTTGATATCTACACCGCCTTGTGGACCTTTTGCATGGCCGTACGCGAGAAGATCCTTTACGTCGCAACACGACGCGGAGCGAGCTGGGGTCGGTTCGGCTCCCCGAGCGAGCGGGGCGGAGTATTTTTCTAGAGCTACGGGAAGAATGTCACAGTCACTGAGACTACGTTACAGGAGGAAGAACGTCCCACTTCACCAACCTGCAATGACCAACGTGGTGAAGTATGGTAAAACAACCCCCATGACTGAAAGTACATGGGAGGGGGGAAGCCTCCATCCAACAATGGATTGACAGAGAGTTGTATTTTTTACATTACTATTTATATCACCACGGGTAGGAATTCTTAGAAGACAATTCATCGAGAGGCAGGCACTGTAGGCAGAGGCAAGAAGTCTCGAGCCTGGACTTGAGCTGGGGGAGGGGGGCAGGAAGGGGGCTGGGGGAGGGGGGCAGGGAGAGGGCTCAGCCTTGCAGGCGGCCAGAGGAAGGAATTCCAAACGGAGGCAGCAGCAGCAGGAGAGAAACAGCCACCTCCCTAATCATAACACCAGCCCTAGCACCAACAATAACACTCGCCTCACCCTCTCACATCACAACTCCACCACTGACTCTACCCTCAACATTACCAACTCTCACCCCAACACGAGCCTGTAAACCGAGCACTAGCCCTGACCTTAAAAACAACTGTAACCATTCACGCTGACCTTAACCTTACCGCTGATCCGAATACCGTGGCACGGTTGGCTACGTACGGTGCGAAAGTAGTTCAACATACATACAGACACTAACACTATCCCTGTCACTAACCTTACCGCTGACATTCATCGTAACCCCAACCTTAATACTGACACTAGCCCTCACACTACCCGTAACACTAGTCTGAACAATAACCCTGACGATAACACTGTCACTCATCCTGCCCTCACTTTAGCACTGACCCTGACACCAACCACATCAAGAGCCCTAACCAAGCCACATCTCTCCCTTATTTAGCGGATTATGGGTTGCAGGTCAGGCCACAACCCATCCCAGAGCCCAGCGCGACCATCCTCAGCGTTGGCGTTTGGCAGGTGTGCTGTGACGGTATCCAGAGCGCACGGTGGGTAGTGTGTTTACCATGTATAGGTTACAGTGTAAACACACGCACACTACACACAGGACACGGGCATAAACAGTGGTGGAGAAAAGACACAAACCAACCCACCACCACGTCACGCTGACATACGAACCCAAGACACATTAAGGCAGCTTTTGTATGTGTGCATGTACGCGTGTGTACACGTGTACACGTACAGTGAGGGAAAAAAAAGTATTTGATCCCCTGCTGCTTTTGTACGTTTGCCCACTGACAAAAAAATGATCAGTCTATAATTTTAATGGTAAGTTTATTTGAACAGTGAGAGAATAACAACAAAAAATCCAGAAAAACGCATGTCAAAAATGTTATAAATCGATTTGCATTTTAATGAGGGAAATAAGTATTTGACCCCCTCTCAATCAGAAAGATTTCTGGCTCCCAGGTGTCTTTTATACAGGTAACGAGCTGAGATTTCTTTGTCAGTGGGCAAACGTACACAATCAGCAGGGGATCAAATACTTTTTCCCTCACTGTATACGTATGTGTGTACACAAAGATGAGCATGGTACAGTGGCTTCTGCACTATGTTTCAAATATGGTGATCCGAGTTCGATCCCTGGCTAGAGAGAAGTTCAGTGGCAAGTGGTATTTGAATCAGCCACGGGCCTTCCCTCCGTTGACTCAGTCCTAAATTAATTGCGTACCCGGTCAAATGTCTAAACACCAGCAATGGAGAGGCAATGGAGGATGGGCATGGCGCTGGTCACACCAGCCCCTCGTGAGAGGTGTCAGCCTTCTTCACAGGTGCTCGCCTACCACCCGGTGGATCGTGAATGTGGCTGTGAGTACAGAGACAACAAAAACACTTGCACTCGGTGCATTTTGCTAAGGGGTATTGGGCAGAGTCCGTGGTAATCGTGCACGTGAGCTCATGACGACATCCTCCTGTGCGCGGCGTCACAGAATCGCTCACGCGCCAGAGGGGCCCTGGGGGGTGGAGATCACGTCCCCATGAGCCACCATCGCCCGCATGTGAGGCTGGGTTCCAACTGTGAACTCTGGACTCGAGCACCAAGGGCACTGTGTGGGTCAGTGCATCAATGCGTGTGTGTGTCGCTGTCATTGTGTGTCTCAGTGTAGCATGGTGTATGTGTATCGCTGTTATGGTGCGTGTTTGTCGCTAACCACTACACGACCACTCCCCACTCCACCGGAACACACACACCAGCAGTGAGTCGAACAAGATGCCCCGGGACAGCCGTCAACAGCCAAATAACAACCGCCATTCGCAACTAAGTGGCGGTGACGTCACCAATGCGCTTGTGCCAGGCTATGTGCACGTTAAACACACACCCACCAACTGCACACCCACTCAATAGCGCTGCTGTGATGTCATAAGTGTGGTTATTTAAACGCCCCACACTTACGCAGGGCAAAAAAACAACATCATTACTGCCGGCGCTACAGCACATGACTCCAGCAGCCGAAATTACGGGTTCAGTCAGATAAAGCTGCAGTAACACGACAGGTGAATGTGTTGTGTACGTGCATGTGTGGTCAGTACACGCGAGTAGGGCTGTGTACACGTGCATGTGTATGGGAAAAGGTGGCGCAGTTGTTCGTGCGCTGCGTAAGGAAAACAATTCCTACGCAAAGCTAACACCAGTTTTATCTAAATGGGTCATGGGCCTCCCCTCGGTCGACTTAGCCTCAAATGAGTACCTGGTACAATGTGTAAAGAGACAAAGGCGGCCGGGCGTGGGTCTGGCCACACCACCCCCTCGTGTACCGTGCCGACCTTCAAAAGTGCTACTCGCTAACAGCACTTGCCCCAACAGTCTGTTGAGGCTATACGGGGGTCTTTGTCTTTGTGCGTGACACAGTGACACAGCTTCCGCGTGACTATGCTGCCGACGATGTCATGTGCTCTGGTGCAGGCGACAGGTGAAGCAAATTAAGGGTGGGGGGGGGGGAGCTGGTTAGCCAGGTAGGGGCGACAGGTGAGCCAGATTAGGGGGGGGGTGAGGAGCCCGGTGGGGTTGGGGGGGGTCATGCAGCTTCATCCAGGAAGCAAGAACAATGAGTGCAGGTGACAAACACGAATAATTACAGCTGACTGCTCACCCCAGAACTCACTGACAGGATACCCACCACCACCATGCTCACCACTACACACTCACCACCCCCCACGACACACACTCACCACCCCCCACGACACACACTCACCACCCCCGCGACACACACTCACCACCCCCGCGACACACACTCACCACCCCCCACGACACACACTCACCACCCCCCACGACACACACTCACCACCCCCCACGAACACACACTCACGACCCCCCACGACACACACTCACCACCCCCGCAACACACACTCACCACCCCCCACGACACACACTCACCACCCCCCACGACACACACTCACGACCCCCCACGACACACACTCACCACCCCCCACGACATACACTCACCACCCCCCACTTCAAACACTCACCACCCCCCACTTCACACACTCACCACCCCCCACTTCACACACTCACCACCCCCCACTTCACACACTCACCACCCCCCACTACACACACTCACCACCCCCCACTTCACACACTCACCACCCCCCACTACACACACTCACCACCCCCCACTTCACACTCACCACTCCCCACTTCACACACTCACCACCCCCCACTTCACACACTCACCACCCCCCACTTCACACACTCACCACTCCCACTTCACACACTCACCACCCCCCACTTCACACACTCACCACCCCCCACTACACACACTCACCACCCCCCACTTCACACACTCACCACCCCCCACTACACACACTCACCACCCCCCACGACACTCACCATGACACAGGGATCACAGAGGCCACCCTGTGCCAGACAAATGCCTTTTTGTGCTTCCCCAACTTTATCCCAATCGCGCTATCAGGGTCATAAAACAAACAATGACTTCTCTCGCAAGGCAGTGCGACCAATCTGTGAGAGAATGGCCCTTAGAAGCAGATACTACAGAGCTGCCTCTGAAATCCCTTCACGTGAACTCTTGTCCTCATAGTTGAGGGAACTGCTTTAACACCTGCCCTGACGCATAGACGAATGTTACAGCATCACACTCTAGCGAAGTTTATATTCTCGGGACTGGAATTTAGCCAAATTGAGCGCAGAATCAAATTTAATTTGATGGTGTTTTGTGACCTAGCCGAGACAGGCCCTCTGCAACCCGGGGGGTGTGAACTCAGGCTCTCGGCGGTGTGGGTTCGGCGCTCCGACCTTCGAACCAGGCGGCCGCCTCTGCGCCACCGTCGATGTAAACTCGGATGGCAAGTCAGCGGCGGCAGCAGCAATCCGCCGAGACGCCCACCGCCACTTTCCACAACGAAAGCTAAATAGATAACTGCAAATAATCGGAAACACGCGGTGGGTCGCGCCGAGCTCCGCTTGGCCTAACTCCACGGCGGCGGCAGAGGAATCGCTGTCAGGATGGAGACCATTTGAACACTGAAGGAGAAATTTTGATTTAAAGCTTTCGTGACTGCAGTAATTCATATTCTTAGCTCTTTCGGTAAAGTCACGTTGAAGGGAAACAATTAAATAATAAAAAATATATTAAACAATAAAAAATCTCACGACGTTTCGACCATAACACAAACGGTCGTCATCAGGTGACGACCGTTTGTGTGACTTTACCGAAAGAGCTAAGAATACTGAAGGAGAATTCAAAACGAAACTTGAAAGGGTGAAAAACCAGAAGTTTTAGTTCACCCGAGACGCAGTGCGACACCAGATAGACCTGTGCCATCACCGCCTCTCACTGATTTCATCAACACCATTATTATCATCGCTGCCACCGTTGGCACCACATACTCTCACTGATCACTATCATACCTGCCACTCACACTCAATACTACCATCATCATCACGGCCACCATTAACACCAGCACAAGCACACTCTCTATTAAGATCATCCAAAATTCATTCATTTTTGTTATACCATCAACAATTCTCCATCCACTGCTGGATGAATCAAGCTTGTGACCTGGAGAACTCGAGGTGTTGCTCTGGGCTTTCCCCATGTGGCCCAGCACCCCCATTATGTGGGTCACAGGACAGACGCATCGCAGGCCGAGTTTCGCCTCCCAAGAAGCTCATTAGCAAGTCGACGACCTCACAGATCCACTGCCCAGAAAGAGAGGGATCCTCGTCCACCTTGAAGGGCCACCACGCTTGGGTCCGGCACCCACTCTCCCTTCCTCCTCACCCTCCTTCCGGCCTCCCTGTCGAGGCTTTAATTATTCATTCACCGGCTACCTGCCCTGGGGGTTAGGAGAGGGTGGTGGTGGTGGTGGGGGGGAGCTTGGCCCGGCCAGCACCTGTCACCCAACGGTGGAGCAGAGTCCAGGTGGGACCCAGCTGTGGGAAGTAGGGGGGGGGGCAGCCCCCCTCCCCTACCCAGCCCGGCGTCACTCCACACGCGACGCGGCGGGACAATGGGTCCAGTGTGGCATGAGACGAGAGCTTTGTGCACGACCATCTGCCACGGGGGTCTTCTTCTCCCGCCAGGTGGGAGGCGGGCTCCCTGCCTGGCGGGACCCCCCCCCCCCCCGTCTCCCTCACGGGATCCATGAATCCTTCCCGGGACGCCTATCTCACAAAACTCCTGTATCCGTCCAGGAACCCGTCTCTCTCAAGGGACCCCTGTATCCATCCCGGGACCCCTGTCTCTCTCACTGACAAAGGGAACCTAGGTCTCGGTGGGGGCGAGTGGCCGTGAAGGGGGCCTTCTTAGAGTCCACCATTGATCCCCACAGCCAACTGCCAGGGGCGTTGACAACAGACGCTGTACCCGTGAACATAATCCCCTCTGACCCTCACGCCAAGAGGTCACGACCCTCATTCTAACCACGACAACAGTTCAGCAGACCACGTGACCCGACTTTAAGAATACCACGTGGCTCCGGACCACTGTCAATAAAGGGGCAAACACTCAGCCCATGGACCTCATCATGATATCTTCACAAACCCAGAAACCTTGACCCCGTGACCCTGATCTTGAGATCCGAATATCCTGTGACCTTGACCCTGTGACCCTAATTCTTGAAATCCGAATACCCTGAAACTCTGATCGTGAGACGCCAATACCCTGAGACCGCGCGACTTCAAGACACTTGACACGATCCAAGACCACGATCTCACGCGACACCCCCCCCCCTCTCTCACCTCCCTGAGTGCGGCTTTGGCCCGCGCGAGCGCCGCCTCGTGCCCGGCGCGCCGCAGGTCGCTGAGGCTCTCGTAGTATCGCTCCAGCTCGTCCTCCTGGCCGAACATGAGCTCCCGCAGCACGGTCCAGCCGCACGCGTCCAGAGCCGCCGCCAGGTAGAGCTGCAGCGCCGAGCAGAGCGCCTCCCGCTCGGGGTCGCGCAGTCGCCCGGCCTGGGCCGGGAAGAGCAGCGCCCAGACCCCCGAGGGCGACTCGGGGAAGGCCGGGACCCAGGCCTCGAGCGCGGGACTCAGCGCGCTTAGCTGCACGTGGAGGCCGCGCAGCTCCTCGCACGAGAAGAGTCCGGCCCAGCTCGTGTCTCCCACCACCTCCTCCTGCTGCTGTTGCTGCTGCCTGTACACACCCCGATCCTGCTGCTGCTGCTGCTGCTCAGGGCCACCCCGCGCCGACTTCAGGGCCCGCTCCCGCTGGGCCGTGCGGTCGTGGCAGCTTATGGCCGCCTTCTCCTCCACGTCGTTCCACGCCACCATGAAGGCCACGCGCCGCCGGGCCTCCTCCTTGAAGGCATCGGCGCGGATGGCGACCCAGCCCTCCAGGCTGTCCGCGCGCTCCTCCGCCTCGCACATGGCGATCGCCACGGCTGCCACGACCTCCTCCTCCTTGAGCACAACCAAGACCGCGATGACCACCACCACTACGGCGGCGGCGGCAGCGTGGTCGGGCCGGGTGCGTGACCACTCTTCTTTGTTGATGATGATGCGGTTGTGGTGGTGGTTGGTGCCTTCGCTGTCGACGTGGTGCTTGGCTCAGTTGTTGCTGTAGACGTTGACGCTGGTGGGGTGGCGATGTCGCTGTTGATGTTTTTGTTGTTGATGTCGTTTGTCAAGTAGTGCAGTCGCTTTTGCCGCCGCCGCTGCTGTCGTCGTCGTCGCTCACGGAGTTGTTGCCTTTGTTGTCGTGGATGTTCGCGTTGTTGGCCACACAGTTGTTGTTGTTTATGCTGTTGTAGTTGCTGTTGTAGTTACTGTTGTTGTTGTTCTCGCTGTTGTTGTCGCTATCGGAGCGTGCGGCCCAAAGCCGCGGGCGCCGCTGCCATTTCCTCCTGACGTATGGAGCCCCGCCCCTCACTCCCCATAGCCCCGCCCCTCTCTCCCCATAGCCCCGCCCCTCTCACATAGCCCCGCCCGTTCACTGCTGTGACCCCGCCTCCTCACCAATAGCCCCGCCTTCATTCTTAGACCCCGCCCAGCTGAATACTAAACCCCACCCTTTACAATGCCCCCGCCCCTGCACGTGTCCCCGCCCCCCTCTATGCCATTGGCTGGAGAGCGCGCGAGTGTTGATGTCGAGCTCCTCGCGAATGGTCGGAATCCACCCACGTGCGTCATTGTCTCCGACTCCGCCTATTGTTTACGCGGTGACGCCATCTCCCCGAGCCGCTGTTGCCATGTGACTCGCGGGGAGTGTGACGGGGAGTTCCTCACCTAAGATGGCGCATTCCATCCTCCGCCTGGTGACGTCACGCGCGGCCCTTGATGAGGCTGTGAGGCTGTCCAACGAGCGCCGGTGACCGACGTTGTGGCAGTCCACGCGAGGTCTGTGGTCACCGAGGAGCCTGTCGCATGGCTGGGCGATTACACCTATTTATTGTAGACCTATTTATTTCGCATGCGCAAGCTATACAATGTTTTTTGTCTATTGTATTGTTTTTATAGCCGCAAGGTGACAGTGGAACAGGCGGCGGCGAGGACAACCAAACAGGACCCCGGAGACCACCCACTGTACGACTTCCTGTGCAGCTGGCGGTGAGAGTACAGTGCGGATCATAACGCAACAAACATTTAACACGCAACACAGCAGTGTAACAAGTTCACAGCAGCGCGGCGTAACACCACACCGACATCCCGGTGTACAAACACGCCGAGAACATGACAGTGTAATCGTGTGCCCATGTATGTAAGTAGAGGCGCAGCCCTGCAAGTGTTTGCCATGCGATGTGTAAAGTTGGGCGCTCCGACTCCGTGGGTGACGGCCACAGAGAGCCCCTGGCGTGAAGAGGGTAGTTTTGGCCTACTCCTCCACTCTGACCAGACAGATGGGTTTGCAGAGGGAATCATATGATACGATTAAAAATATGTTGTAATAAAAGACACTGTTTATATATGAAAGGTTAAACAACATACGCACAGTAATGGACGCAGTCTCTTGGCAATCTGCCGCTGGATGAAGGCCGTCCGTCAATCGTCCCCACACGAGTCTGGTCCGTGCCGGTTGGTGCTAAAGGGCCTGGGACCGGTTTTGGTATCGCTCTTCACTGGCCTGAGCGAGTGAGCTAACTGGTGCGCCACCGCTCCACCCCAACACAACGTAATAAGTACCAACCTATGTTATATGAAGAGTATGAAACAACTGATGACAGTAACATACAGTATCACACCAATAATAACGTGCTTACATTGTAACAAACAGCAATACCAAAGCAGAGCAACTTAAAACAAAAGTCGCGGTGACAACGACGACGACAGTGATATCTCGGTAGCAATGTAGGTGCATGCGTTATACACTCCGTGCAATCGAACAGCAACGTCTGTTTACAGCAGATTGTGGTTTTAAGCGACTCACTTTTAATTGCATTTCATGTTCTTGGTGGACGTGCTTGTGCGACGGGGATTCATTTTGGCCCCGACACGATATTACATATCTTTTAACCAGACGCTTCCCATGGTTGTACCGTTTACATTTCCATCTGGTACAGATAGAATGAGAGGCTGGTAGATTCCATGGTTGCGGTCAAGGGATGGCTGCCTTCTGATTAACCATGTTATATATTCTGATTATTTGGTAATTGCTGTTCACTCTGACAAGGAGTTGATCAGCTGCTGAACCTGGGGCTTGCCGCTAAGAGTTGTCCGTCAAGGCCATCCCCACCACCACTCATGACTTCTAGCCACCAAGGATTTGACACTGCACATGGCTTTAAAGTGCAACACGCCTGGCACAATCGATGTGGAGATGCCACAGTGGTAAATGGCGGCTGTGGTAGTTGTATATACAGAATGTATGCGAGTGCGCAGATACGTTTATATATAATGGTGTGTGCCCCAACCCCTTAAAATCTCACAGTGACCGCCATCTCGCATTGGAACTTGTGTCTACGGGACCCCTGGAATCTGGGGACGGAGCAGAGGGGTCAGGGTGGGGGGCCAGGGCAGTGGGGGTCATGGAGGGCAGCGCCCCAGACTACGTGACGGCACAGCTGCTGGGCATGGTCAACCAGGACGACATCAGCGCTGTGGTGCAAGCGCAGCGCCACATGTGAGGCTCCGCACACTCGTGGCGCTGCCAACTCTTAACTCCAAACAGCCACCGTCACTCACCAACGCAATCACAACCAGTCATCACTTACCTCCACTGCCACAACCTTTAAATCCATGCAATAAACAATTGACCACCCACTGACGATGACCATTGGATCGGCTGCCCTGGCAGTCCCACCCATCTCATCCCAGTTGTTCTGTCAACGAACACCGCACCACTCTGCCTTCTGCCCCCTCCCCCCAGGTTGGACCGGTTTGAGAAAACGAACGAGATGCTGCTGAACTTTAACGAGCTGTCATCGTCGCGCCTCGCCTCCATGACAGAACGCTTCACCCAGCACACGCGCACGCTCGCCGACATGCGCCGCGACCTCGACACCGTCTTCCGTCGCATCCGGCAAGTGCCCGGCGCACACGCACACGGGCACGCACACACGGACATGCACGCACGCGCACACACACGGACACGCACGCACACACACTGGCACGCACATGGACATCCACACACTGGCACGCACACACACGCAGGCATAGAGTACACACAAACGATGGTGGTTTAGCATAGTGTGGACTAATATTTGTCTTTTCTTTACGGAATACAGTTTTGGCCCCCTCACACGTGTTGGTCTTCCCTGGGTCCGGTTTCCTCCCACATGATGAAAATATTTTTATAGAGGACCACAGAGCTTGGACAATTGTTGGTAGCACCGGCTCACCACCGCCTGGCTGCCTTCCCTCTTGTCTCCGATTCCTCAGCAATTGTGAGATGCAATTGTGAGACGCGATCTTGCGTGCATACGTAAGCGTATGCATACATACAAGCACACGAGCTCAAAAGACCTCTCGCTCGCACGCACACGTGAACGCGAACACACGTACGCGACTGCGACCACAGGTACAAATGTAAACGAGTACGCGCACGCAGACACGTGAACGCATTCGAGCATGTGCACTTCTCGCGTGCGCGTTGTGTTTGGAGGAGCGGTCTGCACTGCCCTTGTGGACCCCGTGACCTCTTGCCGCGGTCGGTGTCTCCACAGAACTCTGCGGCGCAAGCTCGAGAAGCAGTACCCCGAGTCGTTCAGCCGTGAGTGTCGCCCACCCCTGTGCCCTATCACCTTTACGGATGGCAGCCCACGTCCCAGAGAATAAAAAAAAAACATCCTGTGGATGATGGCAGCCTTCACGTGGCCCACTGTTTAGTGGTAAATCACGACGTATGTCATCGATCTCCCAGTCTCCAGAGCAACAACACGAGCGAAATTCTGGTTGTTGTTCAGCATCTAGATCAGCAATACGAAAGAAGACCGAACATTGCTCCCACACGCGTGTTCACTGGTGTGGTGTATAATAAATACCCTTTGCTGGAGTTCATATGGCCGTTTGTAGGGCATGCAAGACTTTATTTAGTTTTGTACATTAACGCCCGTGCACTTGCATGTTGATACTCTCACTTGTTTACACACACAAGTTCGTACATGTAGACAAGCACACGCGTGTTCTCTCACACACACACACGTGTTCTGGTGCCACCGTGCGTTCACCGCAGGCTGCCATGAGGCGGGGGCCGAGGAGGAGCGGGAGGGTCGTCGTGAGGCAGCGCGGGGCGCGGCGCCGTCAGCAGGGGGCGCGCGTCCCCCTCCTCCCGGACCCCCGTGAGCGGCATGGAGAGGGGATCCAGGCGCCCTGGCTGCAGTGGTGACGACCGTGGAGTTTGACCGTTCACTGTGGGGTTTTTTTTCCCCTGGGTGCGTGACCTACGGGTCGGGGTCCTTTTCTGCACTTTCATCGGCAAGACAGCTGGAAATTCACACGCCGTGTCCACACGCAAACACACCCAGATCTTCACGTGAACACACGCAACTAAACCGGCATCAGCCGGTTGCGAGTAACGCCCACGTGGATTTCACCGCGTATTGTCGAGCAGTGCTCGGAAAAGTCACCAACGGCATTGCACGACTCCACTCTATTGGACATTACACTCATTAGCCCCAACGCACCTATACCTTCGATACATGTGCATTTAGGCATGGGCAGTGTAGACTATTGCTGCCTGCTTGGCTTCGTGTCCCAGGTCTCTTGCTGAAGGAATCGTGCATTTCAGTGGCTCTGGACTGGGTAAATAAAGACGTTCGATCAACTCCAACGCATGTGAAGTCGTTTCTCTGCAATTCACCTCAACCAGGGATGGGCTCAGTCCCGAGTCAGGACTGGTGGTGGCTGCGGAGTTAGAGGGTTCTTCTGGTTTCACTGGCACCTGCAGGGAGGGAGGGCGCGTCCCGGAGCGGATTGAGAAGCGAGAGCAGTGGTTGAGGATACGCGTGGTTTTTATTGACGGAACGGCTGGCGGGGCGGTACGATGCAGGGCGCAGACACTGGGACGCAGAGGTTAATGTTTCTATTCACGTTGGACTATTTACATCGCGGTACACACGGCGGCCTGGCGGGGCCACATGGGCCCCGCCAGGCCGCACCCGCACATGGCATGAGTTTACAAATCTGAGAACGGAACGACAGACACGTGGCAACCGCTGGTTAAAGATTCACAAGCGACTAAAACAAGCTGCGTGCATTCATCAGGCAGAGACGTTGGCCTTACCAAGAGGATCCCCGTGAAGAGGGACCCATACAAAGGGACCCTGTGAAGTGAGGCCCATATAAAGGTACCCCATAAGAGGGACCCCATACAAGGGGACCCCCCCATTAAAAGGGGACTCCTTGAAGGGGAACCCCCATACCAGGGCAGCCGGTCCCTTGGCCTCCGCGCACCTACAGCACTTTAAGTTAATAGCGACAACAATCGATGTGGGTGATGATCGGCTTTTACAAAACGAACTGAAATGACGCGACTCGCACTTCAGTTAGACAGCTCAGATTCGAGTTTTCATTCTACGATTTCCCCCCGCCAACGCCGGCCACACGGCTGCGTCGACCCACGCTGCGCAGGCGAGTCACCCCCTAATCACTTTACCCGGTCACCCCAATCAGGTGACGTCGTGATCATCCCGACGCTGGGAACTGGGTGTTGTGGGATCGTTACCGTGAGTTCAATCAGAGTGGTTGCTTGTCATTGACACTGTTTACACCTTCCTCGAACGTGAAGGGAACCCCAGAGGGAACCCTGGGAGGTCCCATTTCCGGGGAGGGGGGTGAAAGGTCGGGGGGCCCTGCCCCTTCTGACCCCCACCCTCCCTCTACGTGGGAAGCAATGCTGATATCCCCCGCCCCAATCACCATTCCCCACCCCCTGCTTCCCTGGGCACACAGCCATGCGGAGCACCTGGGGGCACGGGGTAAGGGGAGGGCCGGGCGAGGGGGGGGTCATGGCCCCACTTTATAGAGGGGGGCAGGGCACCCCCACACCCAGCCCCCTTCTTGTGGGAGTGCTTGTATGCGTGTACTTGTTTATTTGTATCGTTGTGCATGTGTATTTGCAAGGACATGTGCATTTGTGTACAAGTGTCTTCACCGTGTGGCTGTGCGTGTGTGGGTGCGAGTTTCATCGGTCGCCTGGGTTCGTGGTCCCTTTGCTCAAGGATGCGAGAGGTTGTGGAGGGTCCGCTGTGCGTGCACACGCACACGTGTGCGCGTGCGTGCAAGCGGGCGAGTGTGTGTATGTGTGCGAGCTGGGGCGGCTTGGTGTTCACGAGGAGCAAGGGATGTCTGTCATCTGGTTGTTGGTCGGCCTGAAGATAGTCTGCACAGAGAGGGTGGAAGGGCAGAGAGGCGACGCGTGAACAGACAAACTCGCGTGCAGAGCGGCACAACAACAGCAGCAGCAGTAGCTACCGGCATTCACCATGAAGTGGCGGTGACATCACCAGTGTTTGTGCCAGGTGCACATTAAGGCTATCAAGCAAATTATGTGAGGCCCGCCTGCAGCTGGCAGATCACGGGGACAGAGCCAGCTGTATGTATGCTGAACTTCTTTCACACCGTACATAGCCAACCGTGCTAATTGGAGGTGCGGGTGTACGTTTTAAGCAATTGAGATGACTGGGACACACAAAGAAATACCTACAGTTACACGCATGCACACATAAATACCAGTAGTTACACAGGGCTCAGCCAAGTTTGTACTTGAACTGGAGACTGCTTGGGAATACCGATTGGCTACGTGTCGTGCAAAAGAAGCTCAACATACACACACAGGCTTGGGCTGCAAGGTGGCCAGGCGATGGCAGTACAGCTACGAATGTTTTAATCGATCAGTTCGGACCTTTGAGCGTCTCTGGATACTCTGGTTGCCTCCCACGTGAAACTAAACTCAAACATCTCAACGCAGGGACCCTCCTTAGGCGCAGGTGTGGAAACTCGTTGAGGTTGTCTTGGGTAAATAAAAGACCCTTGTGTATAAAACCCCACACAAATAGACAAGTACACACAAATAATAACACCCATGCAAATATATACAGCCCATACAAGTACTACACCCCACAAGCGCATCTTTATAATTACTCAGCGGCCTGACAGACACTCGAACACGTCACCACACGGGCCTGTACCTTCTGCCCCGTCCCGTGTCTCAGGCTGTTCCTGTTGTCGTCGCCCTCGTCCTCCACCTCACACACGGCAACACAGACACCCCCACGTTACAGTCCCGCTGTCCGCGAGCGCCTATTAAGGCTGGCAGCGTCCAGTGCTCGCCATGCGCCCTCCCGTTTTCCCGGTGCTGTTGCCACACAGCACTGGTGAAGATTTAAGGCCGAGGTGACCTAGGAGTGGCCCCATGTAAGCGGCTGCTGCCCTTGCTGCCTCTATCAGGAGCTGGGGAACGTAGTCATGGCAACGGGCAGCAGTGCCAGCATGTTAACGAGGCGGACGGGAGAGGGAGGAGCGCACACACACACACTAGCTCAAATACATTCACACGCTCAATTCACACAGGCTCACATACTTGCACATATACGCACTCACATGCTCATGTGCACACAAACTCGCACCATAGCTCACACACACCAACTCATACTGAATCCCATACTCCATTTCACACAGGCTCACACTTGCGCGCTCACACTTGCGCTCATACCGAAACTCGTGCTCACACTCGCGCTTGGAAAACAGCAACAGCCACCATTCACCACTGTGCGGTGGTGACATCACCCCAGGTGCTTGTGCCAGGCTAGGTGCACTTTGAGGCCATGTGACGTGTCAAAGGCTTGCTCAAAGGCGATTACTGGACAGGCATGGGTGCTATGACAGACTTGAGATCACTGACGCACCACCTGCGCTCCCATCTGTGCCACCTTGCTGTGTTTCAGCCGCCCAGTGGTCTGCTTGTTGTGAGCACACACACACACTCTCTCTCTCTCAAACACTGTCACACAAACTCACTCTCAGGTATGCTCGCACAAGGTCCCAGACGCAAACAAGTTCCCACTAGCAGACTCGAGAAGACTCGCACATTCGCGTTTGTACTTCCAATCTCAGCAGCCCTGTGTAATGAGGCGCACTCTGTGGGGGTCACGGCCATGTGCGCTCGCTCGCTCATCACTGCCGTGATGGTGGTGATGGTGACGATTCAGATGACGGTGTTCTGGGTGGTGATGGTGGTGGTGGCGGTGGTAGGAGTGGCGACGGTGGTGGCGGTGGTAGGAGTGGTGATGGAAGTGGCAACGGTGGTGGTGGGGATGGTAGCAGTGTTGAAGGTGGAAGTGACAGTGATTGCAGTAGTGACGGTGATGCTGGTGACGGCGGTGATGATGATCACCTCTTTTTTCCATTTCAGCTCGCAGAAGATCCTCTCAAAGCACTCGTGCATGTAGTTATACTGGGGGAGGCATGCGCACACACACAAACCCACGCACACATGTACACACACGGTGAGCACAAGAGGCCCCTTGGGCCTAACGCGTGAAACTGTATAGCACGTTATAGAAATAGGTTTTACCCTTTTAACTGGCACAAAAAAACTGACACCTTTATTCAAGGCATCATGTTTGCAATAACCACAACACAAGCAGTCAAAATGCAAACAAAAGAAACAACTCTGATAATAATATGCACTGTCCTTGAATTTGATTGGTCCACACCCGAGACGGCTTTTCTTAGAGCCTAGTCTCCACTGGTGTTGGACCAGAAGACGCCAACACCAGTGGAGAATGTAAATGCTCACCCCGAGCCCTCAATACTCTGATAGTGCGCTGTTTTTGAGTTGTACGCCTTTTGGCGTCTTCTGGTCCAACACCAGTGGAGACTAGGCTCTAAGAAAAGCTGTCTCGGGTGTGGACCAATCAAATTCAAGGACAGTGCATATTATTATCAGAGCTGTTTCTTTTGTTTGCATTTTGACTGCTTGTGTTGTGGTTATTGCAAACATGATGCCTTGAATAAAGGTGTCAGTTTTTTTGTGCCAGTTAAAAGGGTAAAACCTATTTCTATATCTTGTTACTGGCAAAGGAGGTCTCATAATGTATAGCACGTGTTGGTATACTGCTAGAAGTGTGTCTTTGCATACTGACTGCCACAACTAATGTGTGTGCGTCCGTGCATATACAGGTATACTACGAGAGTGTGTGCGGCTTAGTACACAGTGTGTATACGTGTGTTGTATGCGCGTGTGTGGTACAGATGTGTGCATGTGTGGCTCACGTAGGGAGTGAAGATCTTCACCCATCGCGGCTTCTTCTCGCCGCGTACGTACTCGAAACAGAACGCCATCCCCTCCTCGTCCGTGTCCCACTGCCGCATCTCGGCCCACTCAAACGAGATCACCTGGTTCTGCAGGCACGCACGCACGGGTACATGGGTACACGCTTACAAGTGAACACGTATGCGGGTACTCGCCGAAACGTGAACATGCGCATGGGTACACGCCTGCATGTAAAACATGCACACATGTACATGTCAACAGGTGAACATGCACACCAAGACCCCCCCCCCTTAGCCTTAAGGGACTGTTTGGGAAAGTTACGTTATCGAACACCTATGAAGGCCGTCACGGCACACGTGGGGGTGGGTGGTCAACACCATGCCTGGCCGCCTCCATCTCCCCAGTGCCGATGTTTTATACACACCCGGCCAGGTACTTATTTAAAACCGAGTCGACCTAGGGGACGTCAGGTTCACAGCACATTAACCAATGCGCCAACACTCCTCATAACACACACACACACTGACAACAGCACAGGGAACACTAACAGAAACTCCCAACACCACTCGGAAGCCTGAGATCAACGCGACCCCGAGCAACCCACTCCCTCGCGCGACCCCGTGAGGCAGTGACCCCGGCTGACCTCGAGCTGGCCCTCCTGGGTGCAGGCGTGCAGCGAGAAGTGGTGCAGGCCCACGGCGGCCACCACATGGCCCTTCCTGCGCGAGTCGCAGGGGCAGTGCGGGAATGCCACCTCCCCGTAGCCCTCGCAGCCCCGCACCAGCGCCAGGTACTGGGCGCGCCACCGCACAGCAACGTCAACAACATCACCGTCAGCATCCTCAACAGTATCAAAAGCATCATCACCAAGAGCATTGGCACCATTAACAGCTTCATCAATAGCATCTGAATCATCAATATCGTCATAATCAACATCATCGAAAGCATCATCATCGACAGCATAATAACCATCATCAGCAATACCATCGGCATCATTTACATCTCCGCGTGTCACCTGCAGCTTCTTCTGCTGCTCCGTGAGCTTCTGCAGCTGGTAGGATTTCTCCCCGGGCTGCACACGGCCCTTCCGCACGTCCTCCACCGCCTGCACAAGCACACAAAGATCCCCCAGGTAGCCTTGAGCAGATCGTTAGGGAAAATGCTGCAGCACCTATGAAGGCTGGCATGCCACACGAGGGAGTGGATAACCAAGGGAAAAGCCCGACCTTCATTGACTCCCAAGTTATGATGTTTACATACCATACCAGGAACTCATTTAAGGTTCAGTCTATGTAAGGGAGGCCCGGGACCGGTTCAAATAATCACCACTGTAATTGTGAGAGTGGGAATCGACCTCGGGTTGCCGGGTTCGAATTGCAGTGCACTGACCACTACACTACCGCTCCCCTTTGTCTTTGAGTAAGCATGTGAGTGTAGGTGTGAGCGAATGCAGGTGTGTGTAGGTGAGTGTAGATGGGAGCGAGCGAGAGCAGATGTGTGAGAGCGTAGGCGAGCGAGCGTAGATAAGCAAATGTAGGTGAGCGAATGTAGGCGAGCATGTGTGGGTGAGCGAGTGTGGGTGAGCGAGTGTGGGTGAGCAATTGAATGTAGGTGAGCAAAGGTGAGTGTAGATGGGAGCGAGCGAGAGCAGATGTGTGAGAGCGTAGGCGAGCGAGCGTAGATAAGCAAATGTAGGTGAGCGAGTGTAGGTGAGCATGTGTGGGTGAGCGAGTATAGGTGAGCGAGTGTGGGTGAGCAATTGAGTGTAGGTCAGCGGGTGGAGGTGAGTGAGCAGCACACACCTGGTAGTAGAGGTAGTCGAGAGCCGTGGGGCTGCTCTGCAGCAGCTCCTCGTGAGCGGGAGTGAACACCCACTTGCGCACGGCGAGGCAGGTGCCAGACGCCGCCGACGTGTAGTTCTGCACGTACAGGTGGTGCGGGAACTCGTTGGGCGCCAGCTTGCGCTCTAACAGTGGGGGGGAGGGGGGGCATGCGAGTAACCCCAATGAGCAAGCAGCACGGTCGCTCGTGCGCCACCGCACGCCGCCACCCAACAGTAGCGCCAGCGCATGCTGCACCACGGCGGGCGATCTCCTACGTAAGCGCATCTCGAGACTAAGTGAGGCTTCTCTGGATAATACAAATCATATAATAAAAACACACACGTATCCTTTTGTTCAAAAGACGCTTAATATTAAACACCGCTTCAAGTGAGCAGCCGATTCTGGTTATATTATACGGTGACGTTTTGTCAAGTTCCTCACACTATAAGCAGCCGGTTATCGGAATTAATTTGGCCAAACGGGCGAGGATCTTGCACCGCGGGAAAACGTCTCATACCGAACGAGTGGTCCATGACCTCAAACAAGGCGAAGAAGTTGATGGTCTGTGTCTCCATGCCGACCTCCCGCACCACCGCCTACACGAGCACACACGGTAAACACATGCACGCCCGCATGCGCACACACACATGCACGCGTAAACATGTGAGCGTAATTTACAGCGTACGAGTGTTTTAACGTGTTTATTAAAAAGAGTGTGCAACTTTGTGTGTCACAGTGTACGAGTGTGTGTCAGAGCATTTGAGCGACAGTATGAGAACGTTAGTCAGGAGAGTGAGTGTACAAGTGTGTGTGCGAGTTTGTTTGTGAGCGTTTGTTAAAGTGTGTGCGAGTGCACGAATTTGTGTTAGAATGTGTGAGAGTGGTTGTGATTGTCTACGATGCACGCACCTTGTACACTTGATCGGTGGTGCTGTTCTTCTTCACCGACACTGTCGCCGTGCTCTTGTTGGGCAGCTCCACGCGCAGGTCCACCTCCGCCACGCCACTGCCGCCCTGCTTCAAGACCAAGACCACACCCCCCCCCCCCCGTATAGCCTTAATAGACTTTTGGGACAAGCGCTGTAAAGCGAGCACCAATGAAAGCCGGCACGGCACACGAAGAGATGGGTGGCCACTGCCTCGTGACATCACAAAAGATGCTCGTTATACTTAGCAAGCGCCTATTATGATTGATACCGGAATAGGGGGGTGGGGGGGAGGGTGCGTGATGACCACCAATACCCACAACCAACTTTGTCTCCCTGCTGCTTGTGTATGACGCTCAGCACCGCTGCTGTCGCTCGCGCTACCCCTGCACCGTTCAGCGTAGACCCAATTTTGGGAATAAATGTTGAAGTTTATTGAAATTATGAGATTGGGGCTCCATGCTGAACAACAGGACCCGGAGTAAGAGCCCCCCCCCCCAGCTCAAGCGGAACCTGGTCCCCCTAATTCCTCCACCCGTGTTGTAACAATTAAAACCCCCGCCATGCACCGATATGCGTCATGACTGGGATATGAAACTGGATCGCCACTCCCCGCACGCGCACACACGCACGCATACATCGTTACTGGCACACTCACGTTAAAGTTGCCGTCAGTCACTGCACAATACCCATGAACATGCTATCTTGCGGAGCCCCTCTAATTGTGTACAATCTGATCAGACTCAAAATTACACCGCTGTGATCCCTCACTTCCTTCGACGCTTGCTGCACAATCCTCGAATCGCCCTGGGTCAACTGCCCACACCCTTTCTCTAATGCCCCCTCCACCAAGCCCCGCGTGAATCGCTCCACCACATCTCGCACGCACACACCGCCCGCTTTCCCTCTGCTCGGACGGTCTGCTATACTGCCGATTAACGTTCTAACGTTTACAAAGAACGCGCAATTACAATTCTCCTTTCTGCTGTGGACATTTCTAAAACGGTGCGTTCAGCATTGTTTGGTTCACACGCTGGAATTTCCCGTGGCTCTGCTCCGCTGATTTAAACCCAGGCCCTCTCCGCGTGGAGAGGGGGGGGAGCCGCAGACTCGCCGAGCGTTGACCTGCTGATAAAGGTCATTCATCTCAGAGATCTATTCCCAGGGCAGACACGCGCAACAGCAGCGCCGTGTTAAACCGCCCTTACTCCACGCATTGCGTCACCCTCGCTACTCTACACTCGACCTTCAAGCTGGGGGGTAGGAGTGGGGGGCTGCGGGATGCTGGGACTATGGGGGGGGGGGGGCGATTTTCGGCACAAGAAGAAGCAGCCGAGAGCAGCTTCAGGTCAGACAAGACCCCCACCCACCCCCACCGTCTACCCACCCCTCCCCCCCCCCGTGTGACAATGCGGTCTGGTCACCACGGAAACCGGATGACGTCACCCCTTCCCCGTTGTAACAGTCGCTATTCAGGTTGCACAATGGCTGCATCAACACGAGCGGCACACAAACACTCGCTCACACGCAGGCTCCTCGCAAGCCGATGCACACACATACCAGCACATGTACGTAGCGTTAACAAAGTCCCCAACACAGCCATGCCTGGCGTGCGGTGTAAAGATTAGCACTGGGGAAACAAAGACGGCCTGGAGTGGTGCGAGCCACACCACCCTCTATTGCACTTTAGCAACCTTAATAGGAGGTCGTGAACAGCATTTTCTCCCACCACTATACACAAGATTTTTGTGTGTTTTTGTGTATACATGGTTGTATGAGATGGTGTGTGTACGGGGCGATAGGGTAGCGGTCAGTGCGCTGCGCTATGGACCTGGCCTCCCGAGTTCGATTCCCGCTCACGGCCAACACAAGTGACAATTATCTGAACCGGTCACGGGCCTCCCCTAGGTCGACTCAGCCTCAAATGAGTACCTGGTGCGGTGTGTAAACATCTCCACTGGAGAGACAAAGGCGGCCGAGCGTGGTGTTGGCCACCCACTCCTTGTGTGTTGTGCTGGCCTTCATAAGTGCTTGCAAACAGCACTTGCCCCAACAGTCTGTTCAGGCTGTACGAGGAACTTTGTCTTTAATGGTGTGTGTATGGCGGTGAGTGCCAGTGGATGTTTATGTACGGTGATGAGTGTGAATGGGTGTGCACGGTACTCACATCTGCCGATTCGGACAGGAACTCCTGCATGATGTCGCTCTCTCCAATGACGCGCACAGCACAGACTGTGGGCGACACACACGGCGGATGAAACACGGAATAAGCCACGTGGGTGACACAGAGACACAAAACGTCACCTCTATTGGACGCCACCGAATGTGGCTGGTGGCAAATCTGGCGCACGCTGCGATATGCTCACATGGCGGACTGTGGTGGCAAAGCCGCAGTGTCCCTGCAACCCCGTGGGAGCAGTGGCGCTACCCGATCGAGTCGCTCCTGGCACCAACCACAAACTAACGGGACGAGGAAGAGCGTCTTGAAGGAGCTGACCATGTCACCCTGTGGGCTTATGTTAAGAATAATGATGCCGTTGATCTACCGTCCGTTTGGATGCCGGAGAAATTTCACCAGAATTTGGCTTTGCGTGGGAGGAACGTGCGTCGTAAACTGAGACAAATGCGACATTCAAAGTTCTGCACAGATACATTCTGGAATCTATTGCTGCTCTGCTGTCTTCTGGCCACAACTTACATCACATTCTTCACAAAAACCCACCACAGATAGTAACCTAGTACAGGCAGTCCCCAGGTTACAGAAGGGTTAGGTTCTAGAGAACAATCCATAACCCAAATTTTCCGTATGTTGGAAATAGTTGTGCCTCCCCTACCCGATGACTAGTTTGTTTTCTCTCAGTACTGCATTGCACTGTCGTCCGTTTTCTATTGCTACCCCCGTATTGTATCGCTGTACATACGCTCCACACTTCCTACGATTCTTTCATTTAATTGAATATCTACCCTAACACTACCTATAATTAAACTAATGGAACATACTGTATCTAATTGTTTGTGAATAACACGAAACATTTTAATTAATTGTTAACAGAAAGCAGCCACTGCCGAATGTTTGTTTACCGTGCATTAGGCTCGGCCTAGACTTCTCCAATCGCTGTTGGCGAAGTGTAATTGTGTTAAATAAAGTACATATAGTAAATAACTCATGAAATAAACATAAATGGAGGAAAACTAGCAATAGAAATATGGGAAAAAATGTATTGCTCTATGCATATGTAGTGTTGTGAAGACGAGTAGACTTCTTAGGAGGGACGCTCTGTTTATTGTACTATTTCCTTGTACAATCCTTAACACACACAGAGGGATATACGGTCCCCTCACCCGATACCCTAGGGAGGTACAGCCTCCTAGCTTGGCGGGACATGCACGTCTACTGCTAACCTCCTAGCTTGGCAGGACTTGCACGTCTACCGCTATCCTAGCCTAGAGTCCTCCGGCTAGGACCTAGGGGAGGCTATCTGACCCACCGCTGGCCCGGTGGGTCCTGACCACTGGGTATGCCGAGCCTTAGCCCTCAAAAGGGCTGAAAGGCTGGTCCAGGGTCCTAGCTAGGCTTCAGTCCAGTCTTCCGTCTTCGTGTAGGGAGAGAACTCCACTATCTCTGTTGGGTCACCCCTCTTATACTCGTTCGTGGCCAGGTAGAACCAATCACACATTCCCACGTGGAACAGTCTGATTGGTTCTTACCAAACCGTGGCAACGATCCACTTCACCTCGTCTGACCCCAACCGTTGTACCCAGAGGTAACGCTGCACTGTCCTGGTGGCAATGCAGGTTACCCAACAGTGCGTAGTTAACACCTCTACAAATAGAAAAAAACGACACAATACAACAAAAGTAAAATAATTACGTAACGCTACAAAAAATTCCATTTACCTTAATCCTAGTGAAGCTTGGGCTCAGTGAAGGCGGCATTTTAGTGGAGCGCCTCGTAAGGCGGGGCTTACTCCTCGCTCCGCGTTATTCATCCACAACCTCACCGCGCTGTACTGTTTGCGTTACGTAACTAACGCTAAAAAATCCGGATGTTTAATTTTTTTTTAACATGATTTATGGGAGCATTTCCGTAAGTCTGGTCTTCCACAACCCGGGGACTTACTGTATTGGACAAAAATCCCAATTTCATTAATTTGAACCTATCTACGTGACTTTACCGAAAGACCCAAAGAATATGAATTCCTACAGTCACGAAAGCTTTAAGTCAAGATTTCACCCAGAAAGTACTTGGTGAGAAACAAAGCCCTGCTGATATCTGTATCTGAGACACGGCGTTGCTGTGTGGTGCAAGGTTTGAGATGGGTGGCTGTGGTTGCGCTCAAAGGTTGTTACTAATTAATCTGGCCGATGGCAACCCAAGACAAAGACCGTGGGGATTAAACGGGGGACTTGGGGGTGGGGAGGAGGGGAAGGATGGGGAGGGGTCTTGGGAAGGAGGAGAGGTGAATAAAAAAGTGGCAGGAGGATGGGGAGAGGAAACTGTGGAAGAGGGGGGAGAGACAGGAGGATATAAAATGAGGTGGAGAGGAAGAGGCGGAGTCTCCAGGAGGAAGAGGATGAGAGGAAGAGAAGGAGTTGACAGTGAAGGAGGCTGGAGATTGGTCTTCAGGAGGAGGACGAGGAGTGGAAGATGAGGAGGAAGCGGTGCAGTCTCGGGGATGAGGGGTCTGAGAGGAGGACGAGGAGGGAGGGGGTCCCACCTCGTTCGAGGTACTCCTCGAGACCGCGGCGCCGTGCGTCCAGCTGCTGCTCGGAGAGGGAGAACGGCCACTTCCCCGGGAGCTTTGGGAACCCGAAGTCAGAGAATTCGCGCTTCAGGTTCTGGTGCAGGATCACGAACTCACGGAAGCGGCGCGAGCAGAGCTGGCGCCCCGCCATGTAGATGTTAAACGCCTGCGGGGATAGGGGACACCAACGCCATAACAGCCCCGCCACTGCCATCGTCACCAGCAACATCAAGACCACATTCATTGCCACCATCACGGTCATGGAAATAACGAGCATCATAACCATTGTCATCCCACGTGATCAACTCGCCAATCATAATAATCATGTTCACCACCACAAGCATAACTCCTTCAACCCCCACACTAGGATAGAGAATCCAACCGGTGACCCCTGGATTGCAAGTCCAGCGTGCGAACCATTGCACCGCTGCGGTGGCTCTTTTTCCTCGAATGGAGACCAACGTAAATCCATCATCCAAATGTCACCGCGGTCCCCGTGGCCGGTGCCTCGTCCCCAGCCTCTTACCACAAAACGCTCCCCGTGCCGCTCCACGTGCTTGTAGCTCGGCACCGAGATGGGCACGGCGCGCTTCTCGCCGTAGTCATAGCCCGAGTGGCCCGACGACTCGTCGCTCGGGTCGAGCCTCTCGGCCTCCTGCGGTGGCACCGACAGCACGGAAAGCACCAGCTCCCGCTCGGCGGCGCGGATCAGGTCCACCACCTGCTTGTGGGTAGCGCCCTCTACGTTTACGCCGTTCCTGCACGCGGCATGCACACACGCGGGCTAGTTTTAGACCACCCGCTGCATACTGTGACGCACGCAAGCGCACACGGGTTCCGTAAACACCGGAGCGCACGAGGTGATGCAGTACAACACACAGCATTCACTGCCACAGCACCAGCGCCATCGCGGCCATCACCGGAACACCACCATTACGATTGTCAACACCGCTGCTGCCACCACCATCAGCACGATCGCAACCATGCCCAATTCTACCATCACGACCACTGCTGCCACCACCACCCTTCCCAGTGTCAAGGTGTGCCCGCTCGCGCAAGGAGGGGGGGGGGGGGGTCTCAGGTGGCACCAACCAACCTACTGGGCGACTGGCACCAGCTCAACTGCACAACGGAGTCACACACAGGACAATCTACACACGTGCGCATGCTTACAACACAAACCGGACTAAAACGGTTCTAGCACAAACCACGCTGTACACACTTCATACTGGCAAACACACAAACCACATATGGAACAAACAAATATACCACACATTTAGATAAACCCATACGTATAAACCGTACACACACTTAGGTCCATCACACACGATAAACACACATGAACCTCGCACACATGTAACACACACACAAACACTCGCAAGCCAAACACACACGTAAACCCACACAACGACCGCTATTTGCCACTAAGTGGCGGTGACGTCACCACGGCACTTGTACCAGGCTATGTGCACGTTAAGGCCACGTGAAGTGTCACGGGACAGACCCAGGTGCCATGGGTTGACTGAAATGACTGGCCGATGCACCACCTGTGCCCCCGACTGTACCAACCCACACACGCGCATGATAAACACAGGTGAACCTCACACACACTTGTATTACACTTGTTTACTCATGAAAGCCTCACTGATTTTCAAATTAAGGCGGATCCTGTTAAGTTTTAGCTGTAGGGGGTGAACATTGCCGTGTTTCCAAATTCAATCATGTGCGGTGCTGGTTTTCACATTTGACAAATTGGGACCAAGGTACATGATGGCCTAACTCTTCTTCACTGTGCATCACGAGATATTAAACGTCCAGTGTGGGTAAAGCAGACGCTGCAGAGTATTTCACGGTGAATCCACACCGCAGTCTTAACCGGGGGGCCTGGCGTATTCGAACCGTGAACTCCTGCAACAGGTGGAAAATGCGCCACCGCCGGGCCTTGTCACCGGCCCAATGAACACGAACCACGCATGCACACACACACAACACACAAATTAATCACACACGCACGGGCACAAATTGGCATGGGCCGCTATCACTCGCCCTGCTTCTTGAAAAGCCCACAGGGTGTCGGTACGGGGGAGGGGGCCTCAAGTCGCCCTTTGGCACTGCAGCCACGTGAGGTGGTGGCTCGGCGCCACTGCTGGACTTAACTAGAGCGCCGGCACAGCCTCACTCACGCGTCACTCGGGGCAAAAGTCCGTGTCATGCGTACGACCCAACCAGCCACGTGCCATCAGCTACAGCGGTAATATCACTGACAGCAGCATCAGCAGTATCGGCAGCAGCATCCGTAATAAGACTACCAGCAGAATCGGTCGTAATAGCACTCTCAGCAGAATCAGTAGTAACATCGGCAGCATTGACATCAGCAAAAGTATCAGCAACAGAAACACCAGTATCATCATCAGCAGTGCCCAGTCTCACATGACCTCCCAGCCCAGGGGCATGCGGAAGTATCGGGGGCGGCGAGGGCCTCACGTGCGCACTAGCCCTGCCCACCCCCCACGGGACCTGGTGAGATGCCACTCACCACAGCACCAGCCCATATGTTCCCGCTGCCCTTCTCCTGCTGCGAGCCGAGAGCTCCCTTTAGTTTCCTCGTGGGGATTTCCCCGTTCCGAATTACTGCTCCCGCATGACCCATTCCCTACCTCACATCAAAGAGCGAGTGCTCAGCCCCCGCTATTTATGGCGGCGTCTCGCTCATGAATCCCTCACAGCAAGAGCCTCGTAGGATCATCATTGTGGAATCATCATCAGCCAGCCATGGTCAATCCAATGCTGGGTGAAGGCCTCCCCAAGCCACCGGCGACACCTCACACGATGCAATGATCCAACGCAACACCTGCACAAGGCGAGGTGACCAGCGGTAGAGTGAGCTGCACGCAATTGGCCGGGGCTTGGCTCAACTCATAATTCCTCCTGGGTTCATAAATTATGTAAAAATAATGTGTGTGTAAGTGAACAGTGGTCGATGTCTATGGATAAACTCGCACCTGTCATGGAAAAGTAAAATTTTCATCACTGGCTTTGGCTGTAATCAGGAGATGAGCACCGCCTAAATGCTCATTTGAGCAGAAAGTCACTTTGGCTTTGAGCCACAGACGAGTCGGTTTCATCACTCCATCTCCTCAGTGGACGATCTCTCAGACGCGCTCCATTCCGTGGCTGTCACTCCGTTTCCATTCTCGACGAGTGGCCGTCGTGCGGCTCGCCATGACGCGTCCTATCCAAGTCTACTTGAATTATCCTTCACCGTGGCACAACAATGTTCAATAATCGTGGAGTGGGCACTGGCGCCACACCGGCTCTCACGATGCTGTCTCACGGAGGAGAAAGAGGAGGCAGTGAGTCCCACCACAGACTGGGGTCCCACCACAGACTGGGGTCGGCCCCAACCCCGGGCACGCCGCAACACTCCGACTCGGCTCCAGCCAAGGCAGTGACATCATCATCATAGACATCAGCTGCAGCAGAGGCAGCAGCTGAGCCAAGCTCTTGAAATGGAAACTCATCCTTTGAGGATGATATATATAAACACACACTCATCTGCACGCTACAACACAAAATCAATATATCAACAAAGATCATCCCCGTATAGCGTTAACAGGGCGTTGGGGTTAATGTTGTTAGCGAGCACCTCTATAGGCCGAAATAGCGCACGAGGCAGTGGTGTGACTACCACCACGCTCGGTCGTATTTGTCTCCCCAGTGATGATGTTTACACACAGCAACAGCTAGTAATGTATAGCTGCATCGGCTAAGGAAAGGCAAGGTACCTATGAAAAAAATCGGAACCGGTGTTGGCCACAAGCGGGATTCAACCCCGGGTCGTCGGGTTCGCAGTGCAGTGCGCGAACCATTACATTACCACTCTCCGCACATATATAAAATTAATACACATCTACACACAACACACACCATCATGTCACACACCTATATACATCAACAAAGAACCCCCCCAATATTAATTGTTTTAAACGGTGTTGTTAGCGAGCACCTATAGAGGCTAGAACGGCACATGAGGGGTGGTGGGCAGAACCACGCTCGGCCACCTTTGTCTCTCCGGTGCTGATGTTTACACACCACATCAGGTACAGCACTCGGTTAAGGCGAGGCACTCATTTCCTGGTTCGCCCATCAATGACTGCCCCAGGTAAAAACAAACTCTGCTGTGCTTACAGCTGCATTGAAACGTGAAGCGAACTTGTCCTGTACGTTACTTCTGTTACGATCGTCTTTACCCTGATCCCTGCACTCCAAAAGAAGCGAATGTATAATTTGCTGTAGCTCATTCCCGTAAATACGTTCGTCATGATGCCCGTGTCGTGAGTAAATCCTCGATGGCCGTTTGACGAATTAGCGGTGTCACCTTATCAGACTCCCCTCTCCATAATATGATGAGATCTACGTTTTAGAATGTCCGAGATAAAGCCCCCGATAGCTTTAACACACTTTTGGGGAAAGTACTGTTAGCAAGCACCTATGAAAACCGAAACACGAGGGGTGGGTGGCCAGCACTACGCCTAGCCGCCTTTGTCTCCCTACCACTGATGTTTTACACACCACGCCAGGTATTCATCTAAGGTTGAGTCAACTGAGCGGCCCAGGACCTAGTTTTGATATTCTTCATCGTTGGTCGTTAGCGGGAAATGAACGCTGGTCGTCGGATTCGTAGTTCAGTGCGCTAACCACTACACCACCGCTTCCCCACACACATACAGTTGTATGTATAATCACACCCACAATCCTCACTGCTGTGCAGTTTAGTGTTGTTGCTGTGCGATGCAGGTGATTTGTGTATATTTGTGGTATTACAGGTATGAGATGTTGCCGCCGGTATATTGTTGGGAGTGTAATGTACTGCCAGTGTTATTGGTGATAATAGTACTGTATAGTGCCTCGTTGCACTCTACTGCTGGTGCACTGTCAGTGTTATTAGTTGTTAGTAACATAGTGTGTGTGTGTTATGCGTGTATTGTGTTATTCGCGATGAGTGATTTAACGACCGTGTTGAGTCAGAAGTCACATGGCGAGGATGCGGACTCCGGGCTCTCGATGTTGGCGCGTGGGAGGTGCTTTTGTGTCGATGTTGGCGTCTGTGTACCAATGATGATGTACCGTGTTGTTCGTGTAAAGTACTGCAAGGCGTATCGGCGGTATACTCACCGGTCACTCGGCGAGCACGCGGTAAGCCCCTGGTGGTATCCGTATCAACATACCGTGCCGCTATTCACGTGTTTTCGGAGCGTGTTCAGCGCGGTGTGTGTGATATTACGAGTGTTGACGATGCTGATGTTGCTGTTGTGACCGACAGCGTTACCAGGAGCGCCACCACGGCATCATCACGATGAAGAGAAGGGGAGGGCACTGCCGCGAGCGACTACTCACACGGCGAGGATGCGGTCCCCCTTGAGCACCCCGGCTCGTTCGGCTGCGCCCCCCGGCAGCACGGCGCTCACGTGCTGCAGCGGCGCGTACAGCTCCCCGTTGATGCTGCGCAGCTGCCCGCCCTCGCTCACCTGCCCGCGCACGTTAAACCCGTATCCCGTCTCCGACTTGACGATGCACACGTCGCGCGGCCCATGCTGCAGCTGCTGTGGTTGTTGCGATTGTTGTTGCTGCTGTGGTGCGTGTTGTTGTTGTTGTTGTCGGAGCGGCTGGACCCGCGTTCCCGCCGTCTCCTCCGCCATCTTCACTGCGCTGCGAGGCTGGGGCGGGAGGGAGGGGTGGACTTCCGGTTCCGCGTCATGAGGGGGAGGGTCAACTTCTGGTCGCGTGCTCGACCGGGGGAGAGACTTCCGGTTCCGCGTGACTGCCGCGGGAGCAGCTTCCGGCGGGAGGGGTTCCGGTCGGGCGAGATACCAGGGGGGAGGGGTCATTTCCGCGGGGGGGGGGGGTGTGGCGTCATTTCCGGGATGGGGCCACGTGTCGCCGCCTGGTGGACGGTACCCGTCTTGCACCCACGGATCTCGCTCGCACACGACGAGTGCGGGTAAACTCGCTCAACGGGGGCCTTGGCCGCGTCACAAACAGACATGGACTACTGATCGACCTCAGGGCCTTATGGCACATCCGCCCAATGTTGCCCACAGCCACAGCAACATATTATCTGTATTTTGATTTAGTGTGCTGATCTTAAAGGTGCATTGAAAAATTTGATACTCCGACTGATACTCCTGCTGTTGTGGAGTGATTCATGCAGCCAGCTATGGCTGCAGGGTTTGGTGTTACATGTTACGTCGTTTATTGTGAAAATTCGGTCACAGTTCCTATGATCACTGTTACATTGCTTTTATGGCTTTATTTTGGTGATTTCGAAAACGTTTTCGGTTTGGCCATGATTGTTGTAGTACGGAGTTAGACTAATGACCTTAATCTAAGTTGTCTTGTGGTTATATTCTTGGTTCTTTTGGTAAAGTCACGTTGGGGTACGGTGCTTTTTCTGGAATATTTTGCTGTTTTTTCCTAGATTTTGTTTTCACAGTCACAGTCACTTTAAGATGTTTTCTTGTTCATGTTTTTGTTTCTTGTTTGTTGCGGTTGCACCCAATTTAAGAGCCGAGTGGCTCACAGGGCTATACAAAATAAATGAAACTGAAACACTCTGGCTTGCAGCAGAGTCGCCATCCTTACTGTGGGGCATCAGAAACACAGCTCACCGACACTGGCTTCAAATTACCCCGTCTCACGCTGGCCTGGGCATTTCGTGCGGATATATGGCTTCCATTGCTTTTCTACCATCCCTCATTTAAAATTTTAAACGTCTTTATCCAGGAGAGCCACACTGAGTCGTGGGACTGTTTAACAGGTCGGTCCTGCGTTGGTTAAATGTTTTCAGCCAATGTATGAACGTTTATGCATTTGAGGAAACCAGAGCAACCAGAGAAAACCCACGCATGCAAGGGGCAAGGCTTCCTACACAGGTGGAAACAGGCGAATTTTATCAACTTGCTGTACTGCCTTCTCCTGGCGAGTCAGAGAATGGCACCTGCTGATTGTACCAGGGCTATCCTGAGTGGCGTTTCTCTGGAGCTACACCAGCCATCTGGAACTCTTGTCCCAATGCAGGTATCCAAGCACCTTCAAGCAGCAGCTCAAGGCTCTCACCCTCGTTCAGGCTCGCGTACGAGGTACTTTGAGCTCTGGCTCCGCGTATCTGGGGTTTGGAGCAATGCGTCGTGAAATGTGCGCTCTATAAATTATTATGAAACCCCCTCCCCACCTTCAACCCTCCACTCACTTCTCGTCTCACCCCTCCCCCATCTCGCATGAGTAAATCGCAACTCCACCTCTGCACTCTCAGCCACGAGCAGCGTGTAAAACGTATGATAAACTTTTAATGTTTTTTTTTACATGAACAATTTCATTACACCAGCCCTTCAAATTACGATACACTGTACACCAACGTCCAACCATGGTGGGCGGCCGAGCGGTAACCGCCACCGCACACAGGGAGACACTGCACACTCACGGCACCGCCGGCTCCCCCCCCCCCCCCCGCACCACCAACGAAGAGCGCACGCGGCGGGGACAAACGCGCCACCCCAATCACACACACACGTCACGTCAAAGTGCACGCGTTTCCCGTCTGGGGGGGCGGGGGGCTTCTGGGGAGGACCCGGGGAACCCTGGCCAGAGTCACGGGCCCTCCCGCGCTTGAGATGGAGGGTGGCGCGAAATGACCCCTAACAGAAAGTGACAATACAAGGCAAACAGGAAAAACGAGACAGCATACGCAGTGGTTTCCACAGGGCCCACCTCCCCATCCTGTCATCCCGATCACACACGCATGTATACATCGAGGGGCCGTCTGCAGCACGTATCAACAAGGGTGGCATTCCCCGAGCTTGGGCAACCCCAAGATTCCCCACGGAACACAAAAGCCGCCGGGGTCGTTCCCAGGCCGAGAGGCAGCGAGGGCAGGGGGGACGTGGGATGCAACGTCCGTGCTGTGGTTGCGGCTCAGCGTCCATCGAAAGAGCAGCGAGGAAGTTAAATTAGAAACCGAAGGCAGACACGATCAAATGCGACCCCGCAGACAGAGAGGAGCGCTGATGGCACCGCACGACCCACAGCTTCTGCATGGTGAACGAGGGGCGACGTGTGCTCACGCGTGCGAATGTGTGCTTGTGTGTGCGATGGTGTGTGCTTATGCGTGTGTGATGGTGTGTGCTTGTGCATGTGTGCGTTTCCATGATGATGTGCGTGATTGGTGTGTGCGAGTGCGCAAGCGAGTGGAACACGCCGCGTGCCAGGAGGGGTGCCGCACACTCTTCTCGGCTTCATGCCGGCAGCCGCTGCCCCACGACCTCCAGCGGGGGCCAGAAGGGGCAGTCGGGGTCGTTGGGAGTGGAGGGCAGGGGGGGTCCAGGTGTGGGAGCAGAGCGAAGGGGCGAGAGGATCACATGGGGTCGCGCAGGGAGGCGGCAGCGGCATTGGCTGCCGTGTTCTGCACCGTGCGGTTGGTGAACACGCCCTGTGCAAATTCCTGCTGCGCCTTCTCAAAGCTGGCGCCTGTGCGTCGGTACATCGAGTGCACCTGCACACACGCAGACAAAAAAAAGATGAAACAAAGATCCCCCATATAGCCTAAACAGACTGTTGGGGCAAGTGCTGATAGCGAGCACCTATCAAAGCCGGTACGGCACACGAGGGATTATGACCAGTTCCCGAGTGGTCATGCTTACACACCGTATCAGGTACTCATTTTGAGGTTGAGATGACCTAGGGGAGTCCCAGGACCGGTTCAGATAATTGTCACTGGTGTAGGTGGTGGCCACGAGTGGGAATCGAACTCGGGTAATTAGATTCGTAGTGCAGCGTACTAACCACTTCACCACCACTCTCCACAAAGACACGCACACGGATACATGCACATGTTAGCACACGCACATGAAAATGTCACTGGAGGCAGCTCGCAGTACACGCGGATGAAGGTGTGCGTGTGCTTGCATGTGCTTACGTGTGTGTGCACAATACTCATGTGGTGCAGGGTTTGGTAGAGGGTGTGCACGTGTGCGTGTCTGTCTTATTTTGTGCTGGTGTGGTTGCAGGTGTGTTAAGTGTGTATGTATATGAATATATTTAGATGTGTGCGAGTGTGTGTGTGAATGTATATGCCTTTGTATGCACGTGATTGTATGTAAGTCAACGAGTGTATGGGAATGTGTTTGTGTATACGTGTGTGTGTGTGTGTGTACAGAATGGTGCATACCCTCTTCAGCATGATGAGGGAGAGGGCGGCCGAGGCGGTGAACATGATGGCGATGATGGAGAGTATGACGCCCACGGCGATGTTCGATGAAAATGCTCCGATCGTGGAGATCCATCCACTGGTGAAGACAGGCACACACAAAGACCCCCCCATGTAGCCTAAACAGACTTTTGGGGTAAGTGCTGTGAGTAGCATCTATGAAGGCTGGCAAAGCACATGAGGGGGTACTCAATTAAGGCCGAGTCTACCTATGCAAGGCCGATGATAGGATCAGTTACCCCTTGCCAATAATGTAGTCATAGTCAAGAATTTAACTTAGGTGGCTGGGATAGCTATGGCCAAGTTCGTGTACGTGCTGCTAATACCAAGCGAGGTGGCAAAGTGGGGAGCACAGATGATGCATCTACCAGTCCTCCCAGTCAGTCTAACCATAACACCCGGGTCTGTTCCAATACATTCTGCCAGCAGCGGTGAGCCTTCCACATTTCACTTGAAGGCCTAAAAGTGCACCTATCCTGGCACAAGCACTGTGGTGACATCACCGCCACTTGGTGATGAATGGTGGCTGTTGTTGTTGTGTACCAGTTGCCCCAGCCTGGGATGCCGACAGCCTGCAGCACGTGCACTACGAACTGAGCGAAGAATATGAAGAAGAAGAGGAAGAAGTTGAAGGAGCTGTCACTCCTGCCGAGACATGGGAGGGGGGCACGATGGAATTAAATAAATAACAATAAAACCACAAGAATGAGAACAACAAGCGCGAGCGCTAACACGAGGCACGCCCACATCGGTAATGTCCCCGCGTACAAGACATGGACATCGGTGTATTTTATTATTACACTCTACTGAGGAACCAAGCCTCAAGCCCCTTGTTCAGAAGGGTCCTGCCAAGTTATCACAGTGGGGAGCGATATTGCTGCGATATGTAATTCATCCAAAATTTATAATTTGCATGGTAATTTTAAGCATTGGAAATGTTTGGCTAATGCCAATTACATTGTATGTTTTTTTTAGCTATGGGAAGAAACCGGAGATCCAGGAGGAAACCTATGCAGACCAGGGGGAAAATGTACAAACTCCATGTGGAAAGGTCCCTGAGCCGGAAAAGTCCCTTCTTGCTATGAGGGGCAAGTGTTACACCACTGTGTTACACCACTATGCCGCTACCCTGCCGCACAAATAATTAACAGAGTAACCCTGCATGATGCTATTCAAAGCCATTCATTTCCTGTTCAAACAAGCATTGAGGCGGTGCTGATCTCCTATTTACAGCCCTGAGACAGTTGTGGAAATTCCACATTCCTTTGGTCGGGAGAGTCTATCCAGTGGACAACCACTGTTGACTTCTCCACTTCGTGGTGCTAATTATATAATCCCCAGAGGGTTCATGAGCTGAGTCAACCTCCCAATCAGGATTTGAACTCGCAACCTTCCGACTGAAGAACGGCTCCATCAATCAATCTTTATTTTATGTGCCAATATCGCCATAAATAAAGGAAGCATCAGTGAACATTACAGCATAATGGGAACGGTACAGGGGCATAGAGCAACAGGAAGGAAAAAATAAACCTGTCATGACCTCATCGGCTAACACCGACTGAGCAAAATAAATTGTTACGATTGTGGGTGGAGATTTAACTCAATAATCTATTCTTCGGTCTTGTTTATTAACCATCCAGTTTGTATTGTTCCTCGTTTATTCAGTCTCATCTCTACATTCTCGTTGGCTCCGTTAACCTACACGTAACCTTGGCACAATTTGACGCACGCACGATTTTTGAGCGGAGGAATCGTTCAATCTTCACAGACACCATCGCCACGAAGCAAGCACCAGCGCCACGAGCGTGAAAGCTGGGAGCGCATTTGAGATGAGGCACGCAAATTCCCGAAATCAACCACGGAGGATAAAAAAATGCAACCCAAGAGGAGCGAGAGAAGAAGCGTGGGAGCAGTGAAGGGGACTGGGGGGGGGGGGGAGACTGTGGGAGGAGATGTATGGGGGGGGGTGGGGGGAGGCGGGCATTACCTGAAGCCCTTGTAAATGGGTCGATACCAACAAGTGAAGGAGCAGGGGATGAAAAGGATCATCCACATGATGGAGATGCCAAAGGAGATTCCCTTGTTCGGGTTGAGGCAGAAGTACACCAGGTAGCCCAGCATGTTCAGCACCAGCGTGACTGCGTGAACTGCGGCCCGAGAGGGCAGGGTTGTAGGGGGCAAGGGAGGGAGGGAAGAGGAGGAAAGGAAGGGCAAGGTGGGGGAGACAGGAAGATGGCCGTAACAGGGGAAGAAGGGTGCAGAAACAAAAGGAGGGGAGACAGGGGGATGCAACTAGAGGAGGAGAAGAAAGGAGAGCATAAGAGTAATGGAGGATATAAAAGAGGAAGAAGAGGAGACCATGCGTGGACATACAGGAGAATGCAGAAATAAGGGAGATGAGAGAGGAGGAGGCAAGGGCTTGGGGAGGTGAGGAGAGACACAGACGGAGAGTGAAAAACGCAGCACAAAAACGGCGATAACACAGCTCGAGCCAGCGGACGCCTCGGCGACCAGCAGAGCACGGAAGGAGTCGCTGGGCTTAGGGGGGCACCGTGGCATTATTGGAGAAGCGACCACCACCAGGGAGGGAGAATAGGGCGGCGAAGAGGCCCCGTGGCAGCGCTGGGGCCCCTCACCGAGCCAGACACGTACCTGCACGCCTTGTAGACCGGCCTATACCAGCAGACAAAGGAGCACGGCGTGAACACGATGAACCACACAATGGACAGTCCAAAGTCCACGCCCTTGGAGGCGTTGACAATGAACCAGGCGAGGCAGCCGAGCACATTGAGGAATAGCGTGATGAAGTGGACTGGGGAGAAGGGACACCATCGTCATTATCGACACCATCATTCTCCATGGCAACCATAACTGCCCTAAATTGAGTTTAATGCAGTCGATCTCCATGGCAACAACAACCATCACACACAACGGTAAATGCCACCACTCACCATAGCAACTACATCACTGTTATTGCTCGGCACCTAAACGCCGCTGTCACCCACTAATGAAAGCGTCTCACCACTTTTGCTCACCAAAATAACATTGCCATTCTCCACAGTAACCACCACTCACTCACCATGCTGAGCACCACTACCCCTCACTCAGTATGGCACAATCAGACGCCATGGTAACAAAACCTCTCCCATCACGACAGCAACACGGTCAGCACAGTGACCTCCACGATGCACCCCACGGCTCTCCCTGCAGTGGCTCTCAATCCCGTTATCGCACAGACACAACAACAGGCACTTGAATGTCACAATTGTCTCCAACACCACCACCAGGGAGGGGGTCACAGTGGAGGGCACGGTGCCCCAACCGCGTGCCGTTAAGGGGAGGGGCACAGTGATACACACAAACTGAAGGGACTCGGGGTAAGAAGAAGAGGGATTGAAAGAGATACAGTGGAAGGAGGAGACGGAGAGACGATGGGTGACGGAGAGCGGGTGAGGCAGAATCTATGAGGTGGAGGATGTGTTTCTGGCAGAAGTTAGGAGGTGGGATGTTCTAATGCTGATATTAATAAAGAGCTGACTCAAGACTTCGTTCGCACGAGGAGGTGGACAGCAGTGGGCGTGTTGCTCAGGTAGGTGGATGCTGGCTGGATGAGCGGGCGGTGCATGTGCCACTCACACATCCACATGTAGTAGAGGATGCGCACCGTGCGCTGGAAGTCGAGAGGAATGTCGATTGCAAAGTCCTGGTAGAAGCAGGGCCCCACGGGGCACTTAGCTGGCAGGGGCGGCCAGTTGTTCTTGCGTGCTGTTCACAAACACGAATGAAAGCGCACGCACACACACGAATGTAATCACAGTCACGTGCACAGTGCCCATAAGCGAGCGCAAGCGTGTGTGTACACGTGTGCCATGCACAAATGTGCATCGTGTATGCACGTGTCGTATCCTCAAACCTTCGATACTGGAAATTTCATTTTAATAAAGACTGACGATGTCTGTGCACCCTGTTGAATTTCTTCTGCAACGGGGTGATTGTGTTTACTCCGATTCCGAATTGCTTCAGGACGACGAGTACTAGAGTTCCACTATCTCCTCAGCATGAACGTGTACAGTGAGGGAAAAAAGTATTTGATCCCCTGCTGATTTTGTACGTTTGCCCACTGACAAAGAAATTATCAGTCTATAATTTTAATGGTAGGTTTACTTGAACAGTGAGAGACAGAATAACAACAAAATCCAGAAAAACGCATGTCAAAAATGTTATAAATTGATTTGCATTTTAATGAGGGAAATAAGTATTTGACCCCCTCTCAATCAGAAAGATTTCTGGCTCCCAGGTGTCTTTTATACAGGTAACGAGCTGAGATTAGGAGCACACTCTTAAAGGGAGTGCTCCTAATCTCAGCTTGTTACCTGTATAAAAGACATCTGTCCACAGAATCAATCAATCAATCAGATTCCAAACTCTCCACCATGACCAAGACCAAAGCTCTCCAAGGATGTCAGGGACAAGATTGTATACTTACACAAGGCTGGAATGGGCTACAAGACCATTGCCAAGCAGCTTGGTGAGGAGGTGACAACAGTTGGTGCGATTATTCGCAAATGGAAGAAACACAAAAGAACCGTCAATCTCCCTCGGCCTGGGGCTCCATGCAAGATCTCACCTCGTGAAGTTGCAATGATCATGAGAACGGTGAGGAATCAGCCCAGAACTACATGGGAGGATCTTGTCAATGATCTCAAGGCAGCTGGGATCATAGTCACCTGGGACCATAGTCACCAAGAAAACAATTGGTAACACACTCGGCCGTGAAGGACTGAAATCCTGCAGCGCCCGCAAGGTCCCCCTGCTCAAGAAAGCACATATACATGCCCGTCTGAAGTTTGCCAATGAACATCTGATTGATTCAGAGGACAACTGGGTGAAAGTGTTGTGGTCAGATGAGACCAAAATGGAGCTCTTTGGCATCAACTCAACTCGCCGTGTTTGGAGGAGGAATGCTGCTTATGACCAAGAACACCATCCCCACCGTTAAACATGGAGGTGGAAACATTATGCTTTGGGGGTGCTTTTCTGCTAAGGGGACAGGACAACTCCACCGCATCAAAGGGACGATGGACGGGGCCATGTACCGTCAAATCTTGGGTGAGAACCTCCTTCCCTCAGCCAGGGCATTGAAAATGGGTCGTGGATGGGTATTCCAGCATGACAATGACCCAAAACACACGGCCAAGGCAACAAAGGAGTGGCTCAAGAAGAAGCCCATTAAGTTCCTGGAGTGGCCTAGCCAGTCTCCAGACCTTAATCCCATAGAAAATCTGTGGAGGGAGCTGAAGGTTCGAGTTGCCAAACGTCAGCCTCTAAACCTTAATGACTTGGAGAAGATCTGCAAAGAGTGGGACAAAATCCCTTCTGAGATGTGTGCAAACCTGGTGGCCAACTACAAGAAATGTCTGACCTCTGTGATTGCCAACAAGGGTTTTGCCACCAAGTACTAAGTCATGTTTTGCAGAGGGGTCAAATACTTATTTCCCTTATTAAAATCCTAATCAATTTATAAAATTTTTGCCATGCGTTTTTTCTGGATTTGTTTGTTGTTATTCTGTCTCTCACTGTTCAAATAAACCTACCATTAAAATTATAGACTGATAATTTATTTGTCAGTGGGCAAACGTACAAAATCAGCAGGGGATCAAATATTTTTTTTCCCTCACTGTACGTGCGGGTGTGTCGTGTGCACATGTTGCGCGAGCTTGTGTCACGTCACCATTGTAGTTGTGCCCCTGCATCTCGTGCTCGCGCCGGTCCAGCTCGGCCGCCTTCCGCTCTAGCTCCTCCTGCTGGCGCTTCAGATCGGCAGTGATGGCGCTGCCCATCTGTACACACGAGCAAGCGAGCGAGACGGAGACACGTGGGCACTCAGCACCACCGCCACGCACCACCATCGCACGCTGCTACTGTGACGTCTCAACACTGGCCTGAAACCTGCATCTGAATGTGTGTTTCCCCCATACACGCTGCAGTATTATTATTACGACGACTACACTTGTGTACCCAGAAAAGCCTCGCAGAGTCACAAGCATCTTTTTCATGAGGTTCCTGCCAGTTTTTCACAGTGGGGAGTGATGCTGATGTGTGTAATCCCAGTTCAGTCATTTGTAAGGTAACATTTTCAGCTTTCGGATGTTTGGCCAATACCAGTTACATTGTATTTGATTGTAGCTTTGGGAGGAAGCGGGAGATCCCAAAGAAACCCCATGCAGAACTGGGGGAGAGAACACAAACTGCACACAAAAAGGTGCCCAAATTAGGCATCGGACTCAGGAACTTCTTGCCTCGAGGCACAAGCGTCACCATTGCACTGCCACTCTGAATTTGTTGCATGCTGCTGTCTTGGGCCCAGATCTGTGTCCAGGAATCGAGGTTTCCTTTGCAGCAGGGGGCAGTCAGACGTTCTGGCTGCCCGTGGTCATGTGATCATCACACTGGTAATGGTACTTCCCCGATCAGCAAAACGAACCCTCCCCCCGTTAAGGCCCCTACAGCCCACGCAAGCCTACCATGCTACAGCAGGGTTCAGCACCTCCCTGTACTATGGCATCATGCAGCAGGGAAACAAGATTCCAGGCAGAGTTTCAGCACAGCGTTGTCGCAACTTAATGCTGACCAATGCGCAGGGGATACTGCAAGCAGTTGTGTTTTGTGTGCAGTAAACTCAACTGGAAGCACAGAGCCACCACCGCCCTCTACTGGCAACTCACTGAAACCTGTGTCTGCGAATCACAGCAGTGCCTTCTCTTTCAATAGCGTTGCGCTTTAACAATGGCGCGAATTCAAAATGTACCGATGATGTGATTTGCCATCCTGCTGCTGTGCTGACAGTGCAGTGCTGTCTTGTCCTGTTGCTGTGCTAGGTGCCCCCCACCGCTCCCAGTCCTGTCCAGTGTTTACGACTGCTCTGAGCCCCTCCCTCCTCAAGGGCGCCTCACCTCGCCCTCTGGCTACGATGCACGCACACGTGCGCACACGTCATACCACGGCACGCACGCACACACGAAGGCACTTGCGTCCTCACGTCGACTCTGCCCGTTTGCTTTGCCAACAAAACCGGCTGCAGCGCCGGCGGCGCAAACCTGCCGGGCCGGTGGGACGCGTTCTCGGAATGAGACAGGACGGTGGATGGGAGGGGCTATGGGACAAGGTTCCCTGTGCGATGTGTCGAGGGTGGAGGAGGGCACCTGTTGGGAGGGCAACTGCGCTGGGAAGGTGGGGGGCTCCTCGGTGGGCTGCATCACGGCCGGCTGGGTTTGCGATGCCAGCGGAGGGGCTCCTGCTGGCCCCACGGGCACCGTGGAGCCGATCTGCACACACACAGGGACGCTTTACATACACACACGTAGATGCACGTGGACATGCAGACACATGCACAAGCTGACGGACATAGACACACGACCGGACACATGCCAACACGCAGACACAAGCAGACTCGCATGGGCACACATTAGTACACGCGGGCACGCATACACAGCCATGCGCGCACACGCACAAACGGGTATACGCACACGGTACTGTATGTGAACATATAGTCACACGGATATGCGCACAAGAACACATCCACACACGCAGACAAACTGTATTTAAAGGCACCTGCAAACCCATTGTTGCAAAACAGATGTTCGTCTCAGAGTAATAAATCCACACTGCACGCACTCAGAATACAGCTGAACCCAATACACGTACCACACAAGTGTTACACAAACCACACAGCATGCACACTCAACACACACGCACACCACCTTCACAAATACACACGGCTGTGTAAGCTGTGGTGTCACCACAGCTGCACATGCCGGCCGGTGTTCGATGAATCACTGCTCCAACAGTACCTTCAGCCTTTGCCCCTCGGGGATAAAAGTGCTTTTATCAGTCGACGCCATCACAGCACCGGACCGCGATAGTATGAGTAACGCCACTCAGCTCACGGGGAGAGTGGGTGAGGGGGCCGGGACCCCCGAGGATGGAGGGATGAGCTCGAGGTAGGCACCCCTCATGAGCTCGGCTTTCATCACGTAATCCATCCCCACTTGCGTGTGTCCGTTTCTCCCGTAATGGTGTCCACACGCTGCGAGTGAAGGAGTTTCGTTCTGCCTGGCGCCGGCTAACATCCCGGTGTCTGGTTTCCCCTATGTGCGTGTGGAGCAATGAGACGTGGGCCACTCAGGACAAAGTGGGGGTGGGGTACGGAGGCTACGCGTGTTCCCCCCGGACAGGTAAGGGGGCCGCATCCCATGCGTGACAGGGCCTTGCTGGATTGGGAAACAGCGGAGCAACTTCTTCAGAAGATGACAATCGTGAAGTGTAATTGTGGAGAATATAAGTAACAACGTAAATATGCAGACGATACTTTAGCTTTCGCAGATGCAGCATCACCTGAGTTTACCTGCGTTAAACCAATGCTGCTGAAATTATGAATTCCCCGATTGCTATGTGGCTGATGGGATGTGTAAAATAATACTTAAGATTTTTTGTTCTTGCTTTGCGAACGAACAGTTATGTTAAGGATGTGTGTTGCCCGACAATTTATTTGGTAGCTTTATCCAGAAATTTGTGCCGACGTGCGACGGTGACCATGTGGATGAGAGGCAAGTGAACAGACTTCTAAAATATTTCTGTAGTACTCTGCGGGGCTGATGCTGTTCTCTGACACCACGTGGCATACTTTACCCATTGTGTAAATGCACAGGGCGTAAGTTATAGGTTTAACACACGCGTCATCATCACGCGTTTGCTTTGTACGTGACAATCGACACCCTGGACACCCTTGCACAACGAGATGTCCCACCTCACCGGATCAATAAAAAAACATTGCTAGCCCCTCTGATATACGAAGCAGTGCCTTAACGGGTTTTAATCCCACCTTCAAACTACATACCGATTTTTTTAGGCAAATATTGCTGCTCTCATTTAATAAAATAAAAATATGCTGACACAAGTTTTGCTTTGGAAATCGGTAAGCGGTAAAATGGGTTTGAAGATCGGCAGCACGCCGCTTAACCGCTACTACCATCGGTCGGATTGGCAAGTGCGAGGTGGTGCACTGCTTGCTGCAAGGGCTCTGAAGGGACACGTTTTGCACCCATATTTTTGGTTGGGCCGCGTGGTGGGCGCTTTATGGAAAAATCCTTCCCATTACTCCTCCACCACCCAACAAGGTTGTCACTTTTACAAATATATAATTTACAAGGGCCAATGTATTGATAAAATTCTGATTAATAAAACTCCTCCACTGGTGGCTGAAGACTTTTTATCGCTTAAGTTAACGTCAGCATATGAGATTTAGATCAAACTACTTCGAGCTTCCTTAAGCACATATGTTTTAACTTAGACAAGTCTTCGTCTGATCACGTGACATTCACAGAAACATTTATACTGACTGGGATAGAGACGGAAATGAATGGCACAGAGAGTACAGGGGTAGTGCCGTGTGCTGAGTAGACGCGACGGGAGTTCCGAGGGAGAAAGGGGTGAGGATCCAGGGCGAGCGACCTAACGCCCCACGAGTCGGGGAACGAGGTGAGCGAGAGGTGGCTGCGGTGAGGAGTGGTGCCACGTGGCACGAGCGGTGACGCCGGCACTCCCTGCCCCATCTCCTCCCCTCCCCCATCAATTACACAATCCCCGTCACAGGTGACAGCACTGCAGGTGGGGTCACGTGGGCCGGGACGTCACTCGTCAGCCAATCACAACCCCTAATTCCATCTCTCTCCCTCCGCCTTCCTGTCCACACGCATCGGTATGTCGTGCCCATTACCGTACACATTGCTACGCCTCAAAGGCCCCCAAACAAAAATTTGGATTGGCTGCAGAATTTTTTTCTGAGCAGCAGCTGTGTTAGTCTCTACAGCTACTGGCCGCTGTTGATGCTGGGCAAAGGGGCAGAGGAGCAATACAAAGATTCAATCTCAGAACCACAAAAATATTTGGTATTTACACACATAGGCTGTGCGCTCCAGGCTGTACTGACACTGCTGTAAACCTTCGTTTGAAGATTTAAAAAAGTTTTTTAAAGGAGAGGATGATTGCACAAGCAGAGCACAAGCTTCAGTGGCATTACCTCATTGATGTTGAAATTCACAGATCACACATCACCCAAACATCAATTAAACTTAAATGTAATTTTTTCAACTAGTTTATAACCCAATGGACCAGGAAGAGCATCTCAGTTGCAAGGGTGACCTGGGTACTACTGAAGGGATGGCATCTTTTTGGAAGTTTAAAGTAATGTTTTTCAAGCTTATGGAGCCTGTGCGTGTGTAGCAACAAGATGAGAACTGTGTGGCTTTTGGATTGTGTTGCACTGGAAATTCACCACCCCAGCTCAGCTGCTTCTCCGGGTCCTGTGGCCTCCTCATCCATGGCCATTGCAGCCGAAAAGAGACGGTCACTGCTATGCCAAAACCGTCACTGTCACCATTACCCTCACCTGCACCGTAACCCTGTCTATCATCCACACTATCACCACCACTGTCATCATGATCCTCACCAACGATGAACCACATAGCCCTACAATTTCCATCAAAAGCCATCGCCACGGCAATTCACTGCAATTGCCAGGGCAGGACACCAGGTTACCTAGGTTACCCGCACTCCCGGTTACACTCGGGCTTGTTTGTAGGCACGGTAGCCAGACACAGAAGGTTGCCCAAGGTTACCGGCACTTTGGCAAATCCACGGGCATTCCCCGTTGCTGTCTCAAGGACCTAGTCTCACTGGGAGTCCCCCTCTCACCATGGTTTAGATGAGGGGGTCCCACTGGGGTCACCGCGAGCCTGGGGATAGTGGGGATAGCTGGTGCGGGTCTCACCTGTCGGCCAAAGTCATCGGAGGCGAAGGGGTTGTACTCTGTGAGGCCTCGGTTGGAAGAGTCGGTCACCTGGGTCACAGCAGGGTCCTAGCAACGAGACGCGTCGCTGAGCATCATCCAGTACACTCACACGCCCATACACACGGACACACTAACACACTCAATAACACATTAACACAAACGTAACACACCCTGACACGCATGGACCCAAACATTCCATCTGCCTAGCAAGCCATGAAAGGCAGTGCACTCAAACACATTAACACTAATATACTCAAGTAAACATGCCCAGAGACACCGACTTACACTGACACAGACAGTGTTAAACTCAAATATAACCAACACACAAACACACAAAAAAGCGTCTGAACACTCAAGAAGAAAAACTAAGACGCACTCCGACACTCGAACTCGTTTCCCCAAAACAGAGTAACTCACCCATGCCCTCACTGCAACAAAAACAATACCACGCCCACACATAAACACTTTTACAATTACACAAACATTCACCAATACACAAAAAATACTTACGTACACTTTCCCAAACAAACCCACAGACACGGACAAACGTGACACAAACACAACACGCCAACACACAAATACAAAGATCCCCCGTGTAGCCTTAACAGACTGTTGGGGCAAGTGCCGTTAGCGAGCCTTATGAAGGCCGGCACGGCACACGAGGGAGGGCGGGTGGCCAGCACCACGACCGGGGGGGGGGGGGGAGGGGGTGGCTTTGTCTCCCCAGTGGCGATGTTTGCACACCCTGCCAAGTACAGTATTCACGTGAGGATGAGACAACTTAGGAGAGGCCCACACACATCCACACAGGCCTAACCACAACATAACGTTGCACACAAAAGAGCAAGTTCCCCATTTAAGCTCGAGTCGTCAAATGAGTGCTGTTGACGAGCCCCCCCTATGATGCACCACAGGCGCATAGCGCGCGCACACCCAGAGCACACTCATGCGCATTGCCTCAGAGCTCCACGTCACCAGTCGCCGATACACCCTTACACACACACACCTACAAAGGCATCTTCCACACATAAATGCCAACCTATTGTACACCCTCCCCTGTCACACTACGCCTTTTCGCATACCTTACCCTAAACCACATCTTCTTTGGTTCTTTCGGTAAAGTCACGTAGAATGAGAATAAAATAATAAATTGATAAAATTGATCATTTTTATTATTTTATCAATTTATTATTTTATTCTCATTCTACGTGACTTTACCGAAAGAACCAAAGAAGATGAATCCTTGCAGTCACGAAAGCTTTAAATCGAAATCTAAACCACATCATCATACAACACACACACCACCTTATCGCACACAAACACACACACTTACCTTATCACTCACGCCTAATCCTACAAATATTGTTTGGCAAATGATGTGAGCAACTACTACGGACGAGGGGTGCTGTGCCATGTGCCGCCCCCGGCCGTGTTTGTCTCCCCACTGACGACATTCACACCCCACCCTATCTCACAGACACCGCACTCTGTAAACACAACCACCCCGTCACACTCACTCACGCTCCCCACGACCACTGTGACGGTGAGCACAACGAGGACCCTGGCGGGCCTTCACTGCCCCCTCTTCCAGACCCCGGCTTCGTTCTCCCAAAGCCTCCAGCCCACTCCCAAGCCTGGACCTCCTTGTCTGGGACCCATAGATCCCCTCGCCCGGGTCCCCTTCCCGAGGTTCCTTCAGTCTAAGGCTCTAAGCCCTCGCTCATCGGTTCCGCATTCCGCCCGTGGCCTCGAGACCCGCACCATCCTCGGCCTGCCTCGGCTGCCACCCGCAAAGCGCTTTTCCCCGCAGCGTAACCCGGCGAGAACGATTCCCCACCGCGACGCCGTCTCAAGGATCCACGAGACCCTACGGTAGCCCGCACCTGGAAGGGGTGGTTGAGAACGGGGTCCGCGAAGGGGTTCTCGTCGATCTGCGCCATGGCGGAGCAGCTGGCGCGGGGAGACGGAGCGAAGAGCGGCCCCGGGGGGTCCGAAATGGCGGGCGGAGGGTGGGGGTGCTGAACCACGTGACCATGGGGCGTAACCCCGCCCCTCGCCCCTCCCTCTCGCCCCCCTCCTGCTCACCTGTACCGAACTGTACCCTGGTCGGCGCCATCTCCGTAGCAATGCGTGAACGACAACAACATTGTGGCCCTAGCAACGCGAGCACCGGTAACTCAATTGGCTTAGCAACGCATTGACTGGTAACTCCATCTCCCTAACAACAATTAGAGATCCTTGTTCCCCCTCCTCACCACGAGACAGTGGTGTAAACGCCACTTGACACAGTCACGATTGACAAACGGAGGAAGTGCTTTTATCGACCAGAAAGAGATGGCTACGATGATAGGCTGATTCCGGCTTTGGGCTGAGTGCGCGTCACCTGACGATACTTCACCAGGCTGCTCGGCGCGGGTTTGCTTCAGGCGAGGTGTATAGACGTGGGAGTGAAGTATAGTGCAACATTGGATTTCTCGACAGTGCAGAGTGGACGCCGATCCCAAGTACTATCCAGACTCAACACCTGCTTAGCTTTGAGGATCTGACGCGATCGGGCCGCATTCCGGGGTGATTTGGCCACGGCACGTGACTCGAATTTAATGGTTACATTAATTGCCCTCCGTGACCATCACGTGAGGGTATGTTCCAGTACACAGATGCAACCCCAGGACACGACACGAGGGGGCAACACCGAGGCAGAGAGAGAGACGGAGACTCGAGCGGACACTCCAACACAGGGGGACTAAATGAGGCGTTGATGCACAGCGAGAGAAAGGTCTCGGGGATATCGGGGACGTAGGGAGACAGTGTGTCTTAGAGGCACCTAGGGGGCGCAAGGACTCATGAAGGGGGCGAGTCAGCCGAGATTCGGGGTTGGGGAACGCGCGATTGCGGGCGCCAGGGGGCGGCAGAGAGCCGCGACAGCGAGGGTCCACGACCCAGCCCCTCTCCTCCCTCTCCACCCTCACTCTCGTCTCCTCTCTGCCCTACCTCTTCCTCCGCCCTGTCCTTCCTCTCCTACCAATGGATATCATCACAATCCTGCATTTTTCCAGGAAAAACCTCAGTGAGTCTCAAGACCCTTTGTGCTTGTAAATTGATAAAAGCTACCATACTGCCTCTACTTGACTACTGTGACATCGTGTATAAATCAGCCCCAAGCGCTACTGAAGAAGCTTGACTCCATCTATCACTCGGCCGTCAGATTTACATTGAACTGTCCATATAGGACTCACCACTGTGATCCCTACATATGGGTCAAACTTAACATATCTTAATGTTCGACGGCTTGTGCACCAGATCTTATTTATTCACGATGTACTTACAAAAAAATTCGCAGACTACTTGCTGGATCTCCTCTCTGTTTCAAAGAACAAATTTGACCTCAGGTCTTCGCTCATTTACCAGCTTCACATTCCCTATTGCCGTACAAAAACTGGAGGAAGGGCCTTTGCTATTGATGCCCCCAGGGTCAGGAATGCTATTGCCAATCAACTGCAACTTGAATCGCTACCAATGAGATCTTCTCTCAAAACTGCTCTCGAGGAGTTGTACACCCCTAGCTGCCACTGCTATTCATTGGCGTAAAATAAAATGTTTCGCTCCGGATGGCGCTGCAAAGTATTATCTGTATTATGATTTAGCGTGCTGATCTTAAAGGTGCATTGAAAAATTCGATACTCCAACTGATGCTTCTGTTGTTGTGGAGTAACTCATGCAGCCAGCTATGGCTCTACGATTTGGTGTTACATGTTATTTATGTAGTTTATTGTAAAAATTCGGTCACAGTCCCTGTGATAACTGTTAAGTTGCAATTATGGCTTTATTTTTTGGTGATTTCGAAAAGTTTTTTGGTTTGGACATGTTTGTTTTGTTGTAGTACGGAGTTAGGCTGATGGCCTTAATCTAAGTTTTATTGTGGTTGTTGTTTGACTTGCATCCCACTGGGATTTTTTGCACACAGCGTTGGTGTACGGTGCTTTTTTAAGGCATATTTTGCCGTTTTTTTCCCATGGATTTTCTGTTTGCACAGTCACATAGTCACTTTAAGATGTTTTTCTTGTTCGTGTTTTTGTTTGTTTGTTAGTTGTGGTTGCACCCGATTCAAGAGCCGAATGGCTCACAGCGCTATACCAAAATAAATCAAACTGAAAACTGAAACGTCTTGTTGAGTAGTTCCAGTTTAGTCTTCTCAAAGTTCCCAGAGAAACCCCACGCACACAGCGTGGGCTTTAACCACAGCATGCTGGGGCGAGTCATGTCCAGTAGCGAGCAGCACCTATGAAGGCCGACACGGCGCACGAGGTGGTGGTGTGGTTAGAACCTCGCCCAGTCGTCGTCTTTGTCTCCCCAGTGCTGATGTTCACGCACCGCACTAGGTACTCATTTAAGGTGAAGTGAACCTAGGGGAAGCCATGACTGTTTCGGGGATATTACTCGCCAATGATGTTGGTCGTGGCCGGGAATCGAACTCAGATGGCCAGGTTCGAAGCGCAGTGTGTGAACCACTGACACGTGTCACCCACGCGTGGTGTTTCATGTGTCACGCGTGCCACCCACACAGTCCCCCCCCACCCGCACCGCTCCTGCGAGTGATGCTCCGTTTCCGTGGTAACGGCTGCTCGCCGCGACTCTCGCCCGCGAGCCCCGCGGGAGTCTCTGCACCGTGTGATCGCGCTCGCCACCCTCCCCGTGACCCTTGTGCCCCCCCCCATCAGTTCCCCCAGTATCCCCTCTGAGCCCCCCGCAATTCCTCGGTAGAGCTTGCGGATAAGGGAGGTGCGGATGGCTGGGCCGCGTGTGGGAGTGTGTGGCGTGTGTATGTATGTATGTGCACGTGTGTGTTTGGTGCTTGAATGGAGTGTAGAGACGTGTGTGTGTGTGTACGGGTGTGCGGGCAGCGGTGGTGGAGTTATGAGCGCGCTGAGCTACGAAGCCGGCGACCCAAGTTAGATTCCCGCTCACGATAGTGACAACACCAATGACGATTATCTGGACCAGTCCTGAGCCTCCTCTACGTCGACTCAGCCTAACATTAGTGCGTTGTGTAAACATCGTCCCTGGACATATAGCGGGGGTCGGGCGTGGTGCTTACCACCCAGCCCTCGTGTGCTGTGTCGGCCTTCATGTTCTCGATAACAGCTCTTGCCCCAACAGTCTGTTAAGGCTAGCGGGGGGATCTTTGTCTTTATAGGGGTGTGTATTCGTGCTCGTCTCCGCGCGCCTCCACTCTGCGCACCGCTCTTTAATCACCGCGGCGGCAGCGCACGACACGCTCCCCCTCACCCCTCCCCTCGCCCTCTCTTCCCTCCTCACCCCTCCCCTCACCTTCTCACCTCTCTCCTCACCCCTTCACTCACCCTCTCACCCGTTGCCTTACCCTCTCACCCCTCCCTGGCCCCTCCCCTCACCCTCTAACCCCGACCCCCACCCCTCTCCTCACCCATCACCCCCCACCCACGGGGTCAAACGTCTCCGTGCGGTTCCACGGTCAGGGCCGGGGTCACGGGGGCCGGGGGAAGGAGGGAGGGGGAGGGCTGGGGGGCGGGGTAGGAGGGGGGGATGAAGAGTGCGGGAGAAGGAGGGATGAGACGGGAGAGTTAGAGAGAGGGGGTAGAGTGTTGGAGAGAAAAGGGAGAGCGAGGCTGACTTGCGCATTGGATCCCCCAGCAGGGGCTGCCTAGAGATAGGGGAGAGGGGGGGAGAGATAAGTGACTTTACCGAAAGAACCAAGAATATATACACACGGACGTGTTGCGATCAATGGTGTTGATACGTTCTGATTGCCAAGCGAGTCATGATCACCCACTCACCACGCTTACCCCCTCAATACCCTCACCACCCCCACCCTCTCACCACCCTCATTCCCTCACCCACTCACCACACTCACCCACTCGGCACGGTCACGTCTTTATCACCCACTCCCACTCGCCACCCTCACCCCCTCTTCACCCTCATCCCCTCAGCACCCTCACCTCCTGACCACCCTCACTGCCTCGCCGCCCTCTTTCTCACGACCCTCACCCACTCTCACCCACTCCGCACCTTCACCCACTCACCACGCTCAATACCTCATCACCCTCGCCGTGGTCACCCATTTACCACCATAACCCTCCCCCCCCTCACCACCATTATCCTCACCACCTTCGCTATGCTCACCAACTCACCTATTCACCATAATTCATAGATTCAGGATTAGGAACGGGGGATCAAGACCTGTGGGAGCCGGAGTTGGGGGAGGGGTCCCCAGAGCACCCCCTCGTCCACCTTTCTAATCACAGATCTGGCGACTCGGCTTCGCAAATTATCGGCTTGGCTTGGAGTGGGTATTGTCGGCGTAAGGCACTACCACTATCGTACAATTTGCAAGTTAAAACTTACCCATAAAAAAATACTATATTACCGTGTCCTATTCTACGATTCTATGAGCAGGTTTAATGTTGTATAAATCAAATACGGATTCTCGCAGCAACATTTCGGATTTCCACAGTAGAGTATCGGTTCGAAACTCGGTAGCGAGGAGGAGGTGAGTGGAGAGGGCTACGGGGAGAGGGGAGGGGCATTCCCTCATCCCCTCATTTTCGGAGCCCTAACCCCTCCCCTCAATCCAGCCTTCGCCCTCCTCCTCCTCCTCCTTACCCTCTTCCCCGCCAGGGAGCTCACCAAGGCCGCTCGTGTGTCTGCTCTGTCTCTCTCTCTGTCTCTGTCTGCCTCTGTGTTTGTCTCTCTCTGTTTCACCGCGACCCCTCCCCCCCGCACCCGCACCCCCTTCGCGCCTCCCTTATGAAGATGGAGCGGGTGTTGTGACTGCGGGAGCCGCGTTAATGCGTTCATTCATTCACGGTAGGAGCAGCGCGCGGGGCGCGACACTCAGCTACATTATCTGGTTGGGGGGGGAGGTGGGGGTGCGCAGAAACCGGGGGGACAGCGGGGGTACAAAGGTGGGGGGTGCAGGGTGGATCAGGAGGAAGGCTCAAGGTGGAGCGATAAGGAAGGCAGAGCGCACACAAGAAAACAGGAGAAGAGAAAGGGAGTACAGC